TCTGTGATGCTGGCTCTCCTGGATGATCAAGACTTTTCTATGCTTCCTTCGTACAAAATCATAAATGATAAGTAGTTCATTTGCAGGGTTGCATTTCTGTGTGATGGGCTGGCAGCTAGTAGTTGGGAGTCCATATCACTGCTGCTACTTTCTGAAGGCTTAACATACGAACAGGGAGCATCAACACAGAATAAGTCTTTTGTTTTCTGACATTTCAGTTTGCGGGTCAGCTTATGTTTGTATCCTTGAGCATCACTTCTATTTTATTTTCATTATTTCCTCTTTTTTCCTGCATCCCTGTCTTGCTTTTTCCGTTGTTATAGTAAGATAAAGATGTTTTTAGTTTTCATAAGAATTTTTTGGTGCAGTATTCCTGTGTTCTGTTTTTCTTCCCTGAGCCTGTGGAGTATTTTTGATGAACACAAAGTCATCTTTTGTTATCTTGTCCAAACCAAACTTAGTTTCACCTTCATTTTATTTTGCCTGGAAAGAAGTATGTAGACAATCCAGTGGCAGAGAATAATTATGAAATATCCGGCTTGTTCTTTGTAAGGCAAGACACTATCCTCTACAGCATGAAGTTTGCTGGGTTGCTGAAGGTTATTGTTTTGAAGGCAATGTGAGACTCCTTCTTTTAGTTCAAACTGTTTCCTTATCAACTCCAAGATTCTGTGCAAGACAGCAGGTGATCTACTCATGAGCTGGAGGAAGATGGAAAGTTGTATCATGAGCTTTGCCAACAGTATTTTGGTGTGCATGAGGCCAAAACAAACCTCTTCTGAACCAAGAAAGCAAGTAGAAGTAGCCTTTGGATGCAAGAGAAGGATATTTCCATGCTGCAAACTCCAGTCCTGGATCTGGATACCATATGATAATTTTTTGAAAAAGACATTTACAAAGCAACTTGCACAGATTTTTTTTAAAGAAGAATACCTTCATGTAACAGGCCCTTCTTTCTAATTACAGACTAGGCGATTCTCCGGGGGAAATCCAGCAGAGAAAGCATTTAAGATAGAATTAGGTGTAGATGCCTATGGAGTTTTGGATCCACCAAAAAAACAACAACAAAAAAAAGAAAAACTAACAAAGAACAGGCTGTGTTTGGTAATTGGGCTATAAATCCTAGCACGCAGTGCTTATACGTGGAGGAACAAATTTTCTAGCAGGCTGGTGCTATTGTGTGAAGATGGATTTGGGCCAGGCTTCCAGATTTGAAACCCCATGAACGCCGGTAGGCTCAGGCCAGGCTTTGGCTTGGGTTCATCTCAAGCATTGCAAGCACAGAAAAGGCGTTTGAACATTCACAGTAGCAATTGGAGGTCCAAAAGGGGAAGGTATCTGCATAATCCGTTCACTGCTTGCACATACAAGGGGCTTATTACTGCCAATTTGAACCTTTGTCTCCTTGATTGTTACGAGAACATTTTTAGAGCATCTTTGAAAACACACTGCAGCATAACACAAAGGGAATGCTCCTGGCATGCATCCTCGCTATTTGAATTGGTTGCTTAACTATTCTCTTCAGTGGGAAGAGCTTTATTTAGCTTCTCTAATTTTACCCAAATAATAAGTCTCTTGCACATTGTCCTCAACTATGTGGTCCCCTCTGACAGCCCTTTTCTGTAGCAACAGCTGAGGTTGTTCCTGAATTGCATGGTGGATTCAGAGGACAACGGGTACATTACAGGTTTAAGCAATACTGCCCTCTGAAAGTAGGCTGTAATGGGTAGATTTCAATAAATTATCAATTATATCCAGACCAACTGGAGTGATTCATGTGTTGGTTTTAATAAGCCTTGTGGTCATGTATTCACTTTCACTTTTGCAGCAGAGTAAACTCTGATTTCCTCTGAAGTGTGCAGCTGCTGTAAATGGTAACAGGGCAGCAGTGTCCGTCACGGGCATGCATCCTGTGCTTGCTGTGTCTGGGGGTTGTGTCTGAAGCTGGAGAGGGGAAAAGTTTCACGTGAAAGTGAACTACGTGCAATTACCAATTTGTGTGGAAGCTCATGGGGGATTCAGCTGGGGGTGGCACTGAATTGCGTTTCCTCATTAAAATTGTTCAGCTTAAGAAACTAGAAGAGGAAAGGGAAAAAAAATGCACATATGCCTGTTCAGTTAGAGGAAGTTGTCAGAGCATCCTAAAACATTTCGTATTAATGAGAATATAATTGCCAACTTTTACATCCGATCTACTTTATGCAGGCTTCCCATGGAGAAGCCTAAATGAGCATTTATCACTGCAGAGGCTTTGCTGGTGTAGAGGATGCAGGAACGCAGAGAGATATGAATATTTTATGGTTCTGTGACAGAGCTATCAACAGAGTGTACCATCTCCTTGAACTGAGCTGCGTGTGTGGCATGAAGTCGTGATTTATGTCAGATTGCTTGCCTGCAGAGTGGGACCCACTGAAGTCCATCATGTGAGCAGCTGCAGTGAGTTGCAGATGATATTAAAGCAGGTAGGAGATGATTTTGCAACTCCGTTCTGGCAGGAGTGGAGTCCCCTTCCCAGAGTCAGGCGTGGAGTGGCAAAGAGCCCGGGGAGGAGACATGGCTGTGACTTCTGCCTTGAGACCAGGTGAGGTCGTGTTGTTGCAGCTGCAGATTTTCACAGCAGTAAGAAGTTGTCACAAATATTTCCCTGCTCAGCATGGCCACACTGGTTGTGTATTAATCTCATAGCAAGTTGTTTCTCAGTTTGCTCTTCCAGGCACACTCTGCACACCTGATCTCATTGGTATTTTGAACTTAAAAGCTCCAACTTTGTTGAGAGCCCTGTTACACCACATCTTGACAAATCCCTCTTCTTCCAGGGGTGCACTGGCAGACTGGTTCGAGCTAAGCTGAAAATTTTATCCTTGGTCTACTCAACTATAATTCTTTTCCATTTTAATACAATTTGATCATAAACGTCCAGCAACGTATAAGACACAAATTGCATGTTCTTTATCAAAATTGGTGATGTATTGTTACAGCCCATATGGCAGGCTATTGAAACAAACTGCTGAGAGAGCTATGTCATAATATCTACGTACCAAACATTTCTGACTCACCCCCACCCTCACCCCCTGCAGTGATTTTGTAAGTCAGGGCAAAATTTAGACCGCTGTTTTTTATCTGGTACATACTTCTAAGGCATTGCTAAACAAAAAGTTAATCTTAAAAACTGTGACTTCTTGTTGGGGGTTCCAGGCTTGCCAAAGGAACATGTGTCAGCAATTTTAAGCTTAGCAGCCACGTAGCTCTGAAGTATATTTATAGATGCTCTTTCATGACAAAAAATGAGAGATTTTCGTTGTCTTGAGTTACGTTTACAGTAACAGCTTTTTGTTCACTAACGTCACTTTAAGAATTTATATAGCAATGAAGAATAAAACTGAAGTGCACGACAAACAACTCTTCTTTTATTTACATGCATGACAAAGTTACTGGATTCAAAGAGAAAAACACTTTTAATGGTTTGACTTAGCACGCATGTTCATGTGGACAGCTGTGGCGTCCTGCACATATATGCATCTTTAAACTGTTTTATAACAATTTTATTCCCGTTCTTGGATGGAGGTAAATACTTTCAGTTAAAGCAATTCTGAAATGCGTGTGGTTGCCAGTAGAGTTGTTTCAGAACTTAATTTTTGGACAGAGACCTTTTGAGTAAATCTGGTGAGGGAGACTTTGAACATATTCTGTATTTCTCCAATTTAGTACAGACAGAGTAGGTTATATTACTATAAATTTGGATACTGTCATATTACAGTAAAGGCTTGGAAGTCATAGGCTTGTATCGTTTCAGTAATTGAAAGGTACTGTACCCACCATAAACATGTGGGTTTGCTCACGGCCTGTGTCATCAGCACTGGTGGGTATAATTTAGTTGTCTAGCAGCTGTTCCACTGCATTTCTCTTGGCCACTGTCACTTCTGTGGTGTATACAGCCCTGAAGCGTTGTGGAGCTGAGCCAGTGATTCATTGCTAGTCCATTTTTGTAATAAGCAACATTTTGTATTCATCTGTTAATGATCGAGCTGTAGATGCAAAAGAGAGTTTTGTTAGTTCTTTGATAGTGGAGGTCTTTTTCAACCTTAATGATTCAGTGATTCTGTGAACTTACAGGAAGCTAATACCCACACCCTGGTATTGCTGGGCAGAAGCTTTCTGTAGCACTCACTGCCTTCTGCTTTGTCTTAGGAGTGTGGAAAGATTCAGTCATGCTACTGCTTTGCTACCTTTGTGTTGTTTTTTTCCTGAAGACCTCCCCCAGCTTACTATAGGAGTATCAGCTCAACTCTCCCTCCATTTGTCCTCTCCTCATTGCTGTGTCTATGGAGTGAGAGGCTGAGCTTCGTGGTCAGCTCACGCAGATCAACAGGGTCCAACCACGGACCTTGCACAGAGTTGTGTTGAGTCCGATCATCTCACGGATCCAGCTGAAATTTAACTCCAAAAAATGCTGTTGTGTTGGTTTTTGATCAACTCTGAAATGGCCATACCACAGGTGCTGCTGTGACGTATTTTGTGTCTCATCACCAAGGAGAAAAACTTGGTCTTACATGTTCCTTATCATCTTTATAAGCTTGTAAGTATGAGGTCTTGTTACAATGGGGAGAGACGCACAAGCACAGAGGAGAAGCAGCTGCCAGAGGAATGGTGCCTGTTGCTTTATCCACACTTCTGGTAAGGAGCAGAGCAAGCAGATCAAGTCAATAAGCAGTTCTTGCTGTAATTGCCTACCCTGCCTCCAGACATTTGACCCTGGCTTGGAAGCTGGTCTAGGGCCGGTCAAGAAAAGAGCCATCACTCTTGTGACTCAGAGTCAGCTTTGCTGAAATCGTTAGTTAAGCCAGCACATAACCAATGTGAGACCAGGATCAAGCTGTTTTGTTTTTTTTCCCCACAGCGACTAATGACATTTGGTTTATGAGCTTATTGTCATCTTATTTTATAGTAAATGGGATTCAATTTATGTATTAAACGTTAGATGCTCTTCCTTGATTTTCTAGGACGAATCCTGGACTTGAAGACTGGAACGGTAAAGAAAGAGGGTCAGCAGTCCTCAATGAGAATGTGCATGGGATCAAGACGCTCTTTCATTTGCAGGATGAGGTATGTATTTACCCGGTGTTCCTGTTACAGTCTCTTCTCGAATTATAGGCTCCAGACATTGTGCTGCACTTATTTGACCTTGTTTAAAAGCTGAAGCTGTAATGACACATTCCTATTAAGAATTTCCAGAATGCTTACTTTTGTAACTGTAGTAAAACTGAAACTTGTTTTCCTTTATGATTAATGACAAAGCAGTACCTCATTTGTGTTGCAGTTATTTTTATCAGTATTGGGTGTTGTATGCTTTCCCCAGAGAGCTGCATGACAACTTCATCCCTGGAATGCAAGCAATTGTCTCTTCTGGTCAAATTATTCAAATCGATACTTTGGGAACTGAGCTTTCGCAAGTGTAATGAAAGCCCAACTCTGTGTATTTTTTCAACAAACCAATAATATTAAAAGAATCTTGAAGACAAACAGGAATTCAGCTGAAAACTTGCCAGCTATGGAAGAATTAACCTAAGCCTGGTATGAATTAACCAGATGTCAGCTGGTTGATTCTAGATAAATGAGTAATTGTTGGAGGATTTTTATTTTGCAATTTTCCAGCTTCTCCTGTATTGCTTGGGCTTCTTAAGAGGTCTGCCTGCCCGGTGGTTCTGACTAGAGCTTTGTGGACACTTTTATTGTAGTGCAAACTGGATAAAATGTCTATTGCTATTGCAATAACTTCCTCTCACTGTGGTTGGGGGGGAAGTACATAATTGCATTTGCAACCTATATCCAATATGTACTCTGAGAACAGATGATGTAGAATTTGTTATGGAATGGAACGCACAAACCAAAATATCTGACACGTTACAACAGATCCATGTGCTTCTGTTAATTGTGGTGGATATTCTTCCGGTCGTGTAAGGAGTCAGAATATATGGCTGGTAGGTGCCTTTATAAGGGGTTTGTATACTTCATGCCTGCAACATCAGACTTGAAAGCTGTAGCTTCTTTTATGCCTTCACATACTCGGTCCATGCAGAGTCCCTGTGCTTTTGACTTCACTCTTCTTTGTAGTGAAGCAGCGTAATGCCCATAATTTAAACAAATGAGTGTTGGAGTATGCAGTAAGAAATGTGTATTTCAACAGTAGTGTTCATCAGACAAGGAGAATGCTTCAAAATTGAAGGATGAGGGCTACACTCCGAAGACCTGTTTTCATACTTTTTTTTTCAGTGTTCTGGAATATATGAGGTTGCTGCTCCTGTTGATGTTAACTGTATTTGGCTTTTGAAATTATGAATCCAGTATCATGCACGCATCCTCTCAAGTAACGTTAATTGTAGTTTTCTCTATTGTAGCTTGTTAGGAAACAAAATATGGTGGCTTCAAAGATTTCTTCAGAGATGTTAAGTCTGATACTTGCTATTCAGTAAGCATCTTTTCTTCTCTAACAAGGAGACAGCAACCCACAGCCAGTGCCAAGGATGGTTAGAGCTGACTAGTTAGGCTTTTGGATGTTATTTAGCAAGGCTGATACAGGCTGAGGAGCCAGGAGATGTCTTCAGATACATTTCTGGGTGTAGCAGCTGTGGTTTGCCAGCATGGGCAAGATGCTGCTGGTTGGCAGCGCCTTGTCTCTTTTGAAAGACAGCAGCCTGAATCCTGTGGTGTTACTACATTTTACTGCTAATTTCATGGGGAGAAGAAATACAGCCTGGCAGAGAGACACTTGGAACATTGATTTCCCTTCCTCCAAGCTGCACATAGTAGTCATGTGAGGAGGACTTTTTTGTGCAAGGAAGGCCTAATGTCCTGTTTACTGTTTTTCCCCAGCTTTTAAACCAGTTCAAATTGCAGTTATTTTTTAACACTGATTCTGGAAACTCCAGTGCATGAAAGTAGTTTTAGACATTCCAGTAGCCCCATTGTTTTTGTAATTCTAAATCTCACTTTAATTGTTCATTCCTTCTCATTGGCAGTGACTGGTAAAAATAAATAAATAAAAACCTTGTTAGAAGAATGATCCTCAAATAATGTGAATTTTCCTTGGGATTACTTCTTTCATTGTTATTGTTCTTTTTGTCAACTGCAAATGAACGGTTTAAATCCTTCAAACTATTTCCTTAGCTTCAAACGGATTGTTAAAATTATGCTGTTACACATAGAAATGCCGCAAAATATACAGGAACAAGTGTTAAAAATTACTTGTCAGTATAAATAGTCCATTCTTGCAAAGATTAGCTTAATATCTAACAACATTATAGCTGGTGTGCAGCAGTTGTAATGCTCTGTCCAAGAAAGGTACTAATACACTGATATTTTTTTGTGTCAGTGTGTGGGGACCTGACTTACATTTTTGTCTAGTTTTCACCCTTTTTGTAATTTGTATCTTGAAGTGTATCTATTCTTAAGCCACTCTCAGAATTTGTTTCAAATAGTCCTTAGGTTTGGGGGGTTGGAAGGGAATCTTTATTTTTCTTTATAACATAGAGAAAATAGTAGTCGTATACCCAAAAGGTTTGAGCTGTGAAAGCTGCAAGTTCTAAGAAAAGATGTATCTGGGACTTCCTGTCAGAAATAAATATCCATTATGGTCTACTTATGCATACTAATAAAGATCGTAAAATGCATTTTCATCTCAGGTATTTATGTTCATTTTTGAGCCCTTTCAAATATGAATTTACTTTTAGGTGTGGAAATGCTCCTCTGGATCATTTACCTCTGAACAGAATAACCACCATGAGAAAAAGATACAGGTACTATTACTTAATTTACTGCAACAGTCAGTTGCCATAAGCACTCTCATTTTTCCACTGGTCTAATGCTCAAGTGCCGAAGAGTACTACCTGGACAAACATCTGCACTGGCGTACAATGTGAAGTAGCCCTGGGTCACAGGGGAGGAGAGCTTGCCACTCAGTTCAGCTGTGGCAGTCATTGGATCTTCTTGCAGGCTGTGAGCAAGTTACTCAATTTGTCTTTAACCAGTACCATCTCTGAAATATGCTTCACTGTATTTCTCTGAGCAGTATTGTGGAGAACAGGTAAGGTTTGAGTAGCATCATAATAGAGCTGGTATTGTGCAGAACTGTAGGGTCATGGCTGTTTCTAATATTAAAGTTAACGATAAATCATTAGTAGTAGTTTTAAAATGTAAAGCTATTCTGCATGTCAATGAACATGATATTTTTGTGTCTCCTTTTCATTTAGGAATGGCCTTGGCCCAGTAAAAGAAGGTGAAGCACAGTATGCTGTTGTCCATTGCACTGGCTATATCAAGGCATGGCCACCAGCAGGTGTGTATCTTGTACACGATGTGCAATGCACCATCTGCAAAAAGAGATGGAAACATGGCTCAGGATCCATTTGCTGGTACAGAGCTGGTCTTCTATCGGATTTTAGAGGCTTTTGAATATCAAGCAGTCAGCAGTTGTTACACTCTCAAAATATCCTCATTGTTCCTGTGAAACCCTTCTCAATTTTATTGCCATGGAGTGCTGTAGGAATTGTCAGTAATGGAGGACTACAGCAATTGAAGCCAAAAGTTCAGTCTGATAGCCCACATAAAAATGGCCAGATTTTAAGAAGGTAAACACAGAGTGCTTGTACCTCTATAAAGCACCAACTAGTGCTTTTATATTTAAGTACCAAGTTGCAAGAACCCACATATGAAAATGTGTCATTTCAATTCTGGTGCATAGGTCTTCGCTTCAAAGTGGTGGTGGTAGTGAAGAATGTTCAACATTTTTGATAAGTTCTCTATTAAGGCTGTTTTTCTGAGAAACTTGTCTTGATGTGTTTCTTTGAACTACAGAGAAAACATTTACCTTCTGTAACTTAGTATTGCACATGGGAATATTTACACTGGAAGAATTCAAAGAGGAGACAATGGAGTTCATCCAGACATCATCATGAACTGGGCTGGCTGACCTTGGCATTTGCAGTAGTTGAAGAGGGCTGTTTGCAATATGACAGCGCCTGGCATGAATCAAGCCATGAGTTGTTCTGCCCTTTTGCGGTTGTATACCGCAAGCATAAATCACATTTAGGCAGGGATGAATGCTAAAAGTAGTTTGCACCAAGTCTGTACACGGGTGTGCAGATTACAGGCGTAAACCTCTTGTTGATTTCCTGCTGAACTGTAGTTTCAGAAGTTATATAATAGTTCATTTACCAGTGATTTTCATCTTGCACACAAGTACACACAAATATACATGTTTAAAATAGTACAGAACTGAAGCTTGTGACATTTTCTGTGACTTTTGCAGCCAAGAACGGGGCTAATTTATATCACACGTGATCTGTGCTGGTTCAGACCACAATGCAGACAGTGAAAACCTCAGCTCTTATTGCTGATAGTATTTAATATACTTCAGCGTGATGTAGAAGTCAAGATGTTCCAATTTCATTTTAATCCCAGAAGAGTGAACAGAACAGTGTATGTAAATTGCTCTATGAAAATGAAACATTTTTGTTTGCTTCCACAAAGAGGTCAGCCTTTCTGTTGGTATTCCCAAGCATAAGTGAATTTAGCTGTGATATACAGGATGTCTCTTCAGAAAGATGCAGGTCAAATGAGATTTCTTGGAGATCCTTGCTCGTTTAAAATGAAAAGCTTGCTGTACGGTATTGGAACCTTAGAGTCCTAACGTTTCAGGGCTGTGAGGTGTTTTCCCCTACTCTAGCTCCTCCAGAACCACGCAGTTGTCCCATGCTTAGCATCCTCTCCAGTCTCGTCTTCAGTAGTTTATGGGAAGATTATGCCAGTATTCTTGGACTATCTTTCACATAAGATCAAGCAGGAATTTTCTTGTCTCTGTCTCCAGTGTTCTGGTGCACTTCCAGAAGGAATTCATATCCTGTCAGCTTTTACTTTGCTCAGTTAAACCATCCCACTTCTAATCTCCACTCTTACTATGTACTCTTTTCTTTGCACTTACTCATCTTTTAACTTCACTCTTCAAAATGTGGGTCACCAGAGCTAGAGTCTTGTTCCAGATGATACTGTGGTGATATATAATAAAAAGGGTATTTCCTGTCCTGACTGGCAGTATATGATATGGTCTGTTTCTCTTTTATATAGTGCATCCTGTTGGCATCTTAAGTCGCCTAATATATATACCAGACTGTCTTTTCCTCAGTTGTTGTCACTCAAGATCTTCCAGTTTATAACAAAAATAGCTGTGAATTGTGTGATCTTCTGATTTCGTAATGTGAAGTTTCATCCCGTTTCTGTTGCTGTATTCTGTGGCAGTTATTGGTCCCCAAGTGCATGCTTATGCATTTAGCAATGTTGAATTTCATCCCATTTCTGTTACTTCCTCTCCTCAAAATCCCATGGTGCTCCCCCTATGATATCCCAGTGCTCCTCCACAATGTTAATGCCTCCAAACTATAGCACAGTCCTAAGGGATGTTCTAGTTTTTTTTAAGAGCCATATGTGGAATTTCAGTGTTCTTTTATGTTACCATCCAGATTGTTACTCGTCACAGTCACGCATATAGGGCATATAGTACAGAATCGAGACATCTTTCATGACTATTTATTTGCCCTCACCCCCAAGTCTTACCCAGTTTGTATTGGTGATTATCATGTATATGGTGTCTTTAGGAGCTGAATGGGAGTATCTAAAGGCTGAATTGGCTTCCAGTATATTTGGGTAAATCAGTGGCAACATTACTACATTTGTTCTCATTTCCAGCAGTAATTCAACCATAATGTGCAAAGCAAATGAAATAACTGCACGAGTAATCGAATTTGCTAAAGCTTTTCCACCCTGTAATAAAATTACTTTTTTTCAAGTCAGGTAGCAATTAACAAGCCCCTAGCTTTTTCATCATCTCTGCATTCATGGGAGTAAATGTGTTTGTGCCAAATGTCAGCTGTTTTAAAAATTAGCTGTAGAAAGTATCATTTTCACTTATTTTTCAATTGCCAAGTGGACACTCCAATATAAACTCCGTATCTTGTTCTTTCACAGTATGCAATGTGGCACGTGCATTATGCAACTAAGACATAAGGCATACTCCATAAAGAAAATAGCAAATATTTAGCAAATTTACTTAATCTGCACTGAATTAAATTTGTTTAGCACCCAGTATTTTCTCTTTCTGGGTTGTATTGCAGTGTCCATCGCCAGTGTGTTAATTCTTTTTCAGTCCCACACTACAGAACACAAGCAGTAGTGATGCAGAAATGCTAAGACAAGAACTGATGCACCATCAGCGTTAATGTGATAGAGCAGCTGGTCAAAGGTTTGACAGTTGCTGCTATGAGTAATCGATGCTAAATCACTCAGGTAATTTGAATATTTTAAACATGAAAACAAATGAACTATAAACAGCTGTCATCAGTATGGTGGCATGTTTTAAGGATTTTGCTTGCTTTTTTCGGAGATCTAAAGCAGAAAGCAAATTCTGTTTTGTCTCATGTCTGTGGTCAGTGTGAAATCACTTCTGCCCATCTAGCCTTTTTTTTTTCTTTCTTTTTTTCTCACCTTATGGAGCAGCAAGGCTCACCTACTTATTGGCAGGCTGCCCGTAGTGCCTTTGTCACTTTGTGATAGATGGGAGAGAAAACAGAGGAAGCATCATACCTCGTCCTCCTCCCAGAAGTGAGCAGGGAGCAGGCAGGGCCCATGGGCAGCATCTGCTTCCTTCCTAGCAAAGCAGACCAAGGGAGAGCTGCGGTCCGTGCTCCCTCTGCATTCCCCTGCAGAAGGTGCTCTTTGGCCGTTCCCTTAATCCCGTGGGGTTTGCCTTTAGTCGAGTAAACCACAGAGGGAAGACAGCTGCTTGGAGGGGTGGCTCTGTTCAGGCTGGGTGTTTTCCTGGTCTGTTTATTGTCCTTTGTGTCTGCAGCAGAAGGGTCAAGCTCTAAGTGCATGTACAAGCCCCAGCATATGATACGTGCACACCCATACGCTCACAAATTTTAAGTTGACATTAGGTAGACTCTGCATCAGGGTAAGTTTTCTGTGGAAGTGAGAGGATTCAGATCTTCCAGATTGACGTTCCAACCTGTTACGTTGTTCATTTCTTACGTGGATAAGTAACGACAGTGCAGTGTTGCATTATTTTGAATGAGATGAAAAGCCCCCTTGTTTGAAACTGGCTGTGTACCAGCTCCAGGCTTTGTCCCCCTGTTTCCCATGAGGCAGCCCAGCTAGAAGGCCGTGTGATTCTTAGCCCAGAGAATGCTTCGAGCTCATAACCAGTCACAAAACTGAGAAGTGCTGACCTTTTCCTGATCATTCAATTTTGAACTTAAGCAAGTACTTACTTTACAGATTTTTCCTCCCAGAGCATCTTATTCCTGAAAGGAAATTAATCTTATGTAGTCCATATGATATGTTCCTAATAGTTTATTTTCATGCTGTAACAATTGATGGAAAATATTTGGTGGAGAGAGAAGATACAGTCTGTCAAGATGTTGTTAGTTTTCTGTAAATCAAAAACAGGACCTGCAGAAGAAAACATTGTGAAGAAAAGGCTTAGATAGATTCTCATTTCAAAAACTTCAAATAAAAAGTCCCAGAATAATGTTGAATTCAAATAATGTTGAAATCTTCCTCTTTTTTCCTCCTTAGTTTTTTAACTTAAAAAAGAAACAGTTTGGTCTTCCAAGTCAGACTTACGGTAACGTCTTAACCACAGCATGCCAAAGCTGTTAGGTTATTTTAAAATTTTGGCTGGGGTCTGGACGTTTGTGTAGAGTACTCCCTCTTCCAATACAAAACAAAATAGTTGCTTGAATATTCTTTGCACTGCTGTCATTTTAAAGTTCTGGGTTTTGCTTTGTTTTTAAAAAAAGAACCTCAGCTTTTAGTGGGATTTTCACAATCATTTTCTTTGGTATGCTGTAAATATCCACAGTTTCCACTGTTGTGTATGAGAAGTAATCGCATGCAGTGCAGTTTCATGCACAGGCGTATAACTCTATCAGTAATGGTTCTGATGGAGATAGGCATTTATAGGGGATTGCTAGAGATCACTGGGCACTCACTCACATCTTTCTAAATACCCACAAATGATTTATTTTTGAGTGTAGTGAAGTGAAACCACAAATCCACTACCACAGTTCTGTGTCTCGCAGAAAGCATGGGGCAGAAGGACGGAGAAAGAAGGCAGAAAATGAAGTTTTTTTCTGTTGTTAGAGCCAACTGGAAGCTCAATGGGAAAACTAAAAAGTTCCTTATGTCCACACAAACACATGCCATTACCCTGTGGGAAACTGTTTGCTGGCACACAGGACACTTGGAAATTAAATATAACCTCTAACAGCACAGTGTTCTATTTGTGATGCTCAGTTGCAGGCTTAGCTGTGTAAAATGTTGATATTAACTTGAACAAGCATTGCACTATATTTATTATTCGAGAGAAGCATATATTTGGTGTTGAGAAATAAAGCCTCTGTCAGGGTTACATGTAAAGAATGTGAGTAACTGATGTATGTTTATTTTATTCATGTCTTCTAAAGGTCAGCAGCGTGGCTGCTCTCCTGCATGCTTTTGGAACTTTTCTGATGATGCTGATGGTGCTTGATGAACTTAGGAGCAATGTTACATTTTGCTAAGAGCTGCACAAACCTGTCTTAACAAAATCTGTCTTAAGAAAATAACTTCCATCTGTGGAGTGCTATCAGGAACGGCCCCTACACTGCAGACAAGTGGACAGTCATTTGGGCATATTTTTGCCCTGGGCACTTTTAGAAAAATGTCAGTACTTTACTGGGTCATGTATTGATTAATTCCAGCCTTTTTTTTTTTTATTATTCATAGTGTGTCTTGTTGGATAAACCAACTAATAACTTTTCCAGTGTGTTATGCAGACCAAATATACTCCATCTTGCAAAAAAGAAAAAAAAAAAAAAAAGAAACAACAACAACAAAAGGTGAAGTTTAAATCAACACCTTTCCTTGCCAACACTGAGTTCCATCAGACATGGTGTTTCTTAGCTTGGTTTAATTTTGGGGATTGTTTATGTTGCTTTGAGTTTATTTGGGCAGTAGCAAGACTGTACAAAGTTCCTAAAAAGGAAAGTGCTGTTGAAAGCTGAAAAAAAAAAAAAAAAAAAAAAAAAAAAAAGATTATGCAAAGTGGAAGCCATCCAGCTGGGTGTCTCTGCTGTCATTTCAATGCACTGTGCCACTGAGGAAATGACTGAAACTGCTGTTGAAGTTACAGGAACATACTTCAAAATTGTCCTCTCCAAATGGAAAACTCCATTTACAAGAGATCTTTTGGTTAAGATTATCCAATCAGAAGGTCTAAAATTTCCTCCTTAAGAGCACTCTTCTCTGTGTTTAAGTGGCCTACCTCTCAGAAGTACCAAGCATCCCCCAAGAAAATCCTCTGGAGGTGGCAGGATCTCGAGTCACTCACCCTCAGTGAAATCAGACCTCTGCTACCGAGCTGTCTGAGCGTAACCGCCGTTACTTCAGGCGCTGGCTTTTAGGATGTTTGGGTTTTTGGCTGACGGCTGAACTTGCAGATTTGCCCTGTGTGGAGCTCAGGGCTGAGCGATGTCCCCAGAGGCGTGCAGTCCCTGCTGCAGACCTCCAGCCAAAGTGTTAAAGTCCTCTCCTGTTGCTCCAATTTTCTTTCTTCATGTGGTTGTTTTGTACACTGCTGCATTCCTTTCGCATCAAAGTCAGCATCCTCGTGTTCCTTCTACCACATCATTTAATTTGTCCTGCACTCGGTTCATTCCTCCATTCACAGCTTTGTAGGATGAAACAGTCCGATTCCCTTTGCAAACTGCATCATGCAATCCTCAGTTAACCATTTTACACCTAATTAGGAAGAAAATTGGTCACGTGGAGTCTGCCTTTAGTTTCAGCAGCTCAGCCTTCCCTACCCACCACATGTATGTGATCAAACAGCCACGTGTCTGCCAAATTCCTGTCTTAAGTGGACAGGATTTTTAGTTGATGTGTTTGATGCTGCTTTTTCAGGACAGTCTTCTCTTTTTTTTTGCTGAAGAGGCAGCCAAATTCAGTTCTTCTGCATATTGGAGCTGTCATTAGTTAATTACTAGGCCCTGTGTTGAAGAAATAACTCTGTAAACACAGCAAGGAAGAAAAACAAAATAATTCGGTAATCCGACTCTCTTAGCTGTGGTTTCATGTCGGTGGTTTGTGCACTTGGTGATATGCAGCTCCCTCAGAGCATGGGGCTTATGTTTTGGAGGCTTTTTCATGGTTTGCCTAGTGGGTGAAGAAAGAGAGACTGGAATAGTGGTGTGTGAAATGTCAAAGCAATGCTTTGTGATTGAGCTGCCTGGAGGACCCAGTTAACTGCGGGCAGCACAACGCAGTCCCACAGGAGGTGTCCATGCAACCTGTTTTCGTTTCAGGGATGTTTTACATGGCCCCAATCAGGTGAAGCTGTGGTTCAGTGAAGGTACTTGGTCAGAAGCACGAAATTGAAAAATAATAGGATTCTGCCCTGTTACTTTTAACTGGTTTAATGACTGATTTTTTGAAGTGTATTCTTGAAGTCAAATACTGTGATCTTGATCTTTTTGCACAACTTAAGGAAATATTTCAGAACAAGTGTCTGAACTTTTGTTGAGGGATATCACATAGGTTTAAAGCTAAATTTGGGGCCAAATTTGTGTCTATAGATAATAATATCATTGTGTAGAAGACAAAGGATTTCTGACGCTTTTTCAGTTCTCTTGTGTGTGACATGGAAATGTCTTTCTGTGCTTCAATTTCCCACTTGTTAGAAGGGACAATGGCGCTTCTCCTTTGTAAGCCTCTTGAGGTCCCTTGGAAGTATCCTAGTTACCTGTTAGTGGCTGCAAATGAGGTCGGCCACCCAAAATTGTGAATTTTGTTGCAATTAAAGTTTGTGATCATGATATATATATAGAGAGAGATATATGTAAATGTTTTTATCCATACTTTCTGTATTTTGTTTTGTTGTATAACCCAATAGGAAGTGAAAAATAACTGTAGAATGATATTTAGAAACTGGTAGATAAGGTTGAATTCTTTTGATACAGAATACATCATTCAGAAGCTTCTTCATTCAGTTCCTTTACTAGCATTTATTGTCATTTTCCAGAGGTGTCATTTAAAAAAGTTGTATGCCATCGTCTTCTGCATGGTCCAAAGATTAACCTATGTGAGGAATTATAATTTTTGGCAATCGGGTGGCTGTTGTTTCATGACTGGTAACTGCTTTGCAATTAATTTCATTGATGAATCTCATTGAAGCCAAAAATGCATCTTAAATGATTCACTGCCTGTTGTGACTGAATTCCTTGAAAAGTCTTGTGAAAGAGCTTGCAAATCACATTAAGTAAGTCATCAGTGTCACTACTGGGATATTTTTTTGTTTTCAAATCCTCCATAGGAAACTGGTATCTCAAAACTTGAGTTGGGAAATAGCTTTACTAAAAGTTTAGCCAGCGAGTGAGTAAACAGAGCTAATCTGAGTGTTCCTATTTGTGAAACACTGAGATGGAAAACAGTACACATGTATGTTTTGAAATTATTCCTGTGTTTATAGTAGTTACTCCTGTTACACAACTGAAACATGCACTGTTAGCTAAGCATCCGCATTTTTTCGATCTTTCAATGTAACGACCCAGATTTAGTCCATTATAGAAAAAAGTAAAACCGGCTGTTAAATGTGGGCATGAAGTTGATGAATAAGCTAGGCTGTGCCTTGTTTTTAAGGCTGTTGATAATAGATTATTCACAAAGAAAACTGAATGAAGTGTGCAGTGACTGACCATTTTAAGTGACAACGTGATTCCAGTAACATGCTGTGGAGCAGTCCTTGTGGAAATGTTGTTGCCCATCTCAGTGCAGCATGGAGTTTTTGTACCTGCTTTGTCTTCAGCAGCCGAAACTATTGCTGCAGTATTTGCTGTATTCACATTTGAGATGTGTAGTATCGAGCACAGCTGAGAAGGATCATCTGACCTGAACCTGGAGATAATGTCTGAGTCCTAGAGAAGGTGATAAGGTCATTTGGTATGATTCAGAGCATCTAGAACAGCACAGAACTAGGCCAGCAGCGTCTCTGCTCATCCCAGTTTCCTAATTATAACAGTATTTGTTATTGTTTACTTTAGGAATGACTATACCAGAAGAAGACGCTGATGTGGGACAAGGTAGTAAATACTGCCTCGTGGCAATAGGAAGGCTTCAGGTAATGCCAGTCTTTCCTTATGTAAACTACTTCTGAAAACTTAATCAGTGTTATGGTTTAGGTGTAAAGGATTTGCACGAAGGTCTGGTTCTTGACTATAACTTTTAATATGCTTCCAAAGGATAAAGTGTCTTGATGTCTGTGTGCAGTCTGGGGCTTGCTTGGAATACATCGACAGAGCAATGACAATGTGGTTTTGGTACACGTATGTTTAACCGAACAACAGCAACAAAGATGCTCCTGGAACGTGGGCACATGCGGACCTGCTGTTCTGTAGGGTGCATGGGGCTGCAGTGCTGTGGGTGGTGAGAACCATGGGAGTACAGGTGCTGCAGATGGTGGGTTTAAGTGGCTCCCAAAACCAGCAGTATGCTCCCTGCTGTTCTCTCACCTGTCCTCTCATTCTGGTTAATCAATTACTTGAAGGAAGGTAATTGCAGGAGTTATTTTGAAAATGGTAAAGATAAGGCAGTCAAGAGGCACTTAACATCTAATGACTTTTTTCTCAACACGTGTTGTATTTTGCATTCAGAGGTGATGCCAGCTGAGGGAACTGTGAGAATAAAACTTTACTGCCTTTTTGTCCCGACTGTTGCAACCGATGTATTATATCCTTTGCCTGTAGCTGGTGAGAATTCTGAGCTGAATCTGGAGCAGTCGCAGTGAATCCCCTTCACCACAGCAGGAAAGCTAGTTTTTAGTTTTGAAGCGTGGGAATTCTGCCATGAGCAAACGTGTTCGAGCCTCCTGCATGATCCCTCGTTGGCCTGCACTCGTTGCCATATGCTAGGATGGCATCACTCCTTCTTGCAGGGTAGAAGGGACCCCTTGGTAGAGCACAGGTGCCAAGCCTGCCTTAGTCGAGGCGCACAGCCTCCACGTTACTGGAAACGTCAGCACTTCTGCAGAGCGTGTCTCTGTTGTGATGGCAGACCTACAAAAGTATTGCACGATGTTTTTGAAGTTAATCATACTTGTATAATCAGGGGTAATATATTCCACTAATGGATGGAAGGAAGTTATGGGGATTCATATGTTAGAGCTGCCAAAGAAAAACTATTTCTGAGAAAATCGCATTAGTAACATGTGGAGTGTCAAAACATCTGTGAGGTTACAGAAGCCAGCAGGGCTATGGGAGGGAGGGCAAGGGGAGGCTCCGGGGTTGGGTTTAATCACAAAGGAGTCAAGGTACAGAAATGAAAAGCTGTGCTCTGTAACAGTAAATTGAAATGTTGCATACAGTTAACTGGCAAGTCTGACGGCAAAAAATGAGATTTCGTTCCTTTTGCGTTGGCACCTTGTTAGCCTCACTGGCTCTGAAAGTTGTAAGAAAAACAATAGTCTCATTTGTAGCCCCAGCAGGAACGGATGGAAATGAAGTGGGCTGATTGCACAGGTTTCAGGCAGAGAGCTGGAAGTGCTTCATTCTGTCTGATGAGCTTTGAGGAGCGTTTACAGGAGAGCTGTGTCTCTTCATTGCTAGCAGTCCCTTGCTGGTCTAACAGCACAACCTACACCAACATCTGGAAAACTTGGTCAGGTTGTCTGGGAGTTTCAGGTGAGGCTCATCTCACCTGGCTGCGGCTATCTGAAAGTTGAATGCTTAGTCTGAGCTAGTCCTAGATACATTTACAGATAATGAGTTGGCCTCTTCTAAAGAGTGACCTTCCCGTCCTAACATGGCTGGCTTGACTTGTCCTTGGGGAGGCTCTCGTTCTTGGTTGGCAAAGGCAGGAACCAAGATGCCTAACTTCAGTGTGATCCCACACAGTGAGATGAATCCAATCATATTCTGTCCTTACTGTATTGGAAATTTCTGATGTATTTGTTTTCCTGCTGTGCTCTTAAGCCTGGGAAAGTGCTGTGGGGTGAGATAATTGCACTGCAAAGTAGCATAAAAGTGGTTCTATGTCATATACCCATGCTGTGGTTTTATATATGACTTTCTCAGTAGTTAGTCTGCCAACTGATTTTGTTCTTTAGCTTTATTACCAAATCTGACTTCAGGTTGCTGTTCTGTGAACTAAATGCTGTGGACTTGGTTGGTCCTAGGTAACCAGCTCTCCAGTGTGCATGGACATGAACGGCATGTCGGTCCCAACCGAGTTCTTGTCGAGGCACAACTCTGACGGAGTCATCACGTTCGTCGATCCCAGGTGCATCAGTGTCATTGGCTACCAGCCCCAGGTCAGTGAGCTGCTGTCAGTGCGGAGACTCGTTAGACCTGATAAAGAGAATTCCGTTTGCACATTAAAAATGAAAACAGCAAAACATGAAATATTTGTAGCTGACAATTCATATGTTGTGAAATAAATGATGTTCATTTTTCTTTTCTCTCTCTGCTTCTGTAAAATTTGGTTTTCCCTTTTGTATGGGGAATATCTTCTTATCCTTTTCAGATCTGATTAAAATCCAAATGGCAAGATGCTTTAAATCTTGCATGGCTAGCCAATGAAGACATGCTGTGATAGAAAGTTTAACAATGCTTGGAGAGAGTTTTAGCTCTGTAAATCTTAACTTCTGCTAGTCTCTTGAAAAGTAAGAGAAGATCATTTATGGCATGTACTTTCCTTTAGGCTTACATCTGTTCCTGTGAGTAGGAGGCTAGTAATTGAACTGAGGAGAATAATAAATGAGCTTCTGACTGCCACAGCCCTCCCTCAGATAACTCAACAGTTGCAATTTACAGGCAAAAGTAATTTCTTCTAATTTGTTTTTCCATTTATTTTGATTTTAGGTAGCTTTATAATGACTGTTTTTACAAAAAATATTGCCAGAGAATGTGTTTTTGTAGAGGATGTCACTCTCTTCCAGACATTGTTTCACAGGTATTAAAAAAAATCACTTAATATATGTTTGCAAATGGATGTGTCTGTGCAGGAGGACAAATACAGTGCAGGGCATGATGCCTATAAACCTTGCTTTTATGTTCATGTTTGATTAACTGAGTAGTCCCTTTGAGGATGATGGATCTAGTGGCTGCAAGGATTACTCACACATCTGCCCAGGGATTTGTATTGTGGTTTGGGTCTTTTACAAGGCTTTGTTTTATTCTAGGATCTTCTGGGGAAAGACATTTTAGAATTCTGCCATCCTGAAGATCAAAGCCATTTGAGAGAGAGTTTCCAACAGGTGCTGCATCCTGTTCCTTTTCCTTTGCTGTTTACTTATTTATTTATTACTATTTCATTCAGAGAAATAGCTTTTATTTTACATTTCAAGGTATTTTTCTGTTATCCAGGGGAAGGAGTGGCAAGATATGAAACAGTCTGTTAATCAGTTAAGGCATTCAGTTAAGCCGCATAAACAGTAGCTTAAGCTCAGCATCTGTTGGCTCTGTTTTCAGAAATAAATCACCTTGTTATATATTTTGTTTTCTTTTTACAAAAAGTTAACCAAGTGTTTGCTGCACAGTTAGAGCTGTCCTTTCACTTCAGAGATGCCTGCATAGATCCCACTGTGTTGAGTGGTATCCAAAATTAATTACCTTCAACAAGGTGGGCTGTTGACTTGAAAGTAATTACATTAATTTGTAATTCTCTGGATTTTTTAAGAGGGGAATATAAAAGCAATACATACTCACAGATACAGTTTAGCATTGTTAAACCTCACTCTTCTTCCCGAGGCTCTTCTAGTGTCTTCAGTGAGAACAGGGTTAGCTGAAACTCAGTGGATTTCAAAATTAAACCTGCATATAGTTTGTGACGTAAATTCTTTGCTTGCATAGATAATCTGCTTCATATCCTTTATGGGAGTTACACCACTTTACATCAACAGAGGCATTTATGCCATTGTAGTGCTTATTGTTTCAAATTGATCTGGGACATATAGTAGGAGTGCTTCCCCCAAGACTTCTGCTCACTGCTGGTGTTTGCAGTGCCTTCCCTCCATGCACTAGAACAAGTTTGTGTATCATGTTTAACTGATTACTGAGATCCAGATGATGTAATTGGTTCCAGATTTTCTGACAACAGCCGATAGCTCAATCAAGGATTGTTGTTCCATCTTGTGCTAGATGTTGAGATGTGTTTTCAGCTGTGAAGCATGGAAACGAAGTGATTTTTAAACGAAACTATTTACTCAGGCATGGCATGCAAAAATGGAGCTTGAAAAAACTTCTCTGGGGAGAGTAACAGAATGGTGTTCCGTGTCCATGGATTGTGAAACTCAGCTTATGGTCTCTAAGTTTGGTATAGTGTAAGATATCAGTGCTCCTGAGCTATTTCTTACCACCACCACCACCCTCAAATGGACAAGTGTGTGAGCGCTCGGCATCCATTGCAGTGGCTGTTGAAAGGATCAATTTCAAACAGCAGCTAAAGACCCTTTAACTTTAAGGTGTTGGTTCACAGGCAGGAGCATCTGAGAGTTGGATGCTTGAAATATCTTACCACACCCTCTCATCTCCACCCTACCTTCACATGGGTGTGATGCTGCAGGTAAACCTACCTGATGGCATCCTGTCACCAGCAGTCAAGTCCTACTCCCACTTTTCTGTCCTCCCTGACCTCCTCCCTGCCCTTCCTACTGTCCTGAGACTAGCACAGATGGCCTTGCCTGGTGGGGTAGCCAAAGGACCGCTCGGTTTTGCGTAGGACTTGCTTTCAGATAGCTCAGCTCCCCGAGCCTATGCCTGATGGCACCAGTGGTGCAAGAAAAGCAGCAAGAATGCATATGCTGTTTTTCACTAAAGCCCGAATGATTGATTTCACTAATTCATGCAAGAGACAGTGACAGAATGCTGCTGGATAGTACCAAGTCAAATATCTGTCTCTGCAGTGACTGTCTGAGTGCAGCCCGGGGCTCAGGAAGGCTGACTAACTAACATGCCAGTTAATGACTCGGTGCTCACTGAGTGCACTCGGGCCATAGGGGGCTGCTGCTGTTTCCCTGAAGTCAGTTGCTGGGCACTTCGCTGTCACTGCTCAGTACTGGGCATGTCCATAAACGATTTGCTGGATCAGGGACTTCCATGAGTTGCTCAAGGTCATGCAGAAAGACAGCAGGAAAAAAAAGCAAATTAGAAGTGAAAGTTCCCGTTCACTTGACCTGTGTCCAATCTATGAAAATATCGTGCTGTTTCTCTAGCAGGCGATTCCTTTTTCTGTATATTTTTGTTCAGTACAGTAGCAGTGTGATTGGAACTGTTATTTCAATCATGGAATAAAAGACTGAAGTAAACAGTTGAGCTATGCACCAGGTGGTTTTTATTTCTGAAGAATGTAAGAAAGTAAAGGTTAAGCATTAGCTTTGAATCTTTTTTTTGTTCTATTTTGTTAGTGTGCACTGCTTTAAGACAGTTCAGGATTTTCCCACCAGTGATCTCTGTGCTTTATATATTATTACAGAATTAGTGTTTGCTTTATTCATACTTCAGAACAATAGATCATTGCTGTTTGTTTTATTATTGTTAGTTTGGCCTTACAAGACTTTTGCTTAAAAAGGTAACTGTGATTTCCAGTAAACTCTTTTTTTTTTTTTTTTTTTCTCTCAAACCTCCTGTAAACTTGACATTTCTAGTTTGCTGGCAGTATCAGAACCAGGTTGGTGCATAATAGAGGAGGAAAGGAGGGAGGGGTTTGCAGGTTTTGGTCAACTGCCAGCATCCATCTCAAAGCTTTTACTTCCTTGGGAAGATAAATTCATTCATCAGGGTGGGAAAATCAGGCCCAAATGAGATATTCTCAAGGCCAACATCAACAAATAGAGTTTAGTATCAAAGGATCCAGAATACAGCTATTTGATATCCAGTCGGATGCTATTCAGATTAGACACTTTTACACAAGTTCTGTGTTTTTTACCCTGGGTGTGGTGGTAGAAAATTGCTGATTATAGGATGTTGCTCACTGAACTCAAACTACAAAAGCATTTATTAAAAATAAAAGGCCTTTGCCTTAGTATTATTTAGAACTTTTCCAGACATTTCTAAAAGTTGTTTTTTTTTTTGTCTTTCTTTCCATTTAGTCCTGTAGCTAGTTGATCAATTTGAAATGCATTTGAGCAGATTGCACATTTCCTAACCTGATTGCTTGTCAATAAAGACACAGGGTAAATACTGGGTTTCTGCTGAGATAACTACTTGTGGGAAATATAGCGGATAATGATTAAGAACCCACGACAAGATGTGGCATTTATTTGCAGTAGGCCTTCCCTGAGGCCCAGCTGAGGTAGATCAGTGAAAAAGTAATAAAAAATAAACACACATATCCCAGGTAAGTGCCAGCTGAATGACTTGGAACCATATAAGTTTTCTTCTGACTTAAACCCAGGAGTATTAGATAACACGTACAATGCAGCTACAGTGCCAGTGTACAGGTATTGTTTAGAGCATGCTTCTTAAATTCATCCATGCTTGTCACAGAGAGAAAGATCCAGGCCTCAAAGTTTGGAGTAAGTGCATTTATTTCCAGGGTTCCCAGGGACCAGGACCACATTACTCATTTTGAGATAACCCGTTATTACATCATCTTCGGTACATCAAAGCCTTTGGTTTTTCTTCCATCATACTGAGAGAATCAAGGTGAAATTTGTCTTGGTACCCAACTGTTGACTTCCTTGAAACTTCAGCTACCAAGGCCAAAGTTTGAAATGATTATTGCCAGACACTTAAATTCTGACTTAGTTATAAGCAAGTATGCTGTCCAAGCAAAGAATTGATGCTCTGTTTTCATTAATGCTATTAAAATGGATTATCTCTGGTCTCTCCGTTCAAACACTGGCTCATTCTTTCTTCTTGTGAAAGCCAAAAGTGTTTCTTGTTAGCACTTTGCCATCATAGGTTTTTTGGTATATAGTTGTGGATGCTCTTTCACTTGATTTATTATGTGGTGTGTTTTCACATATTTTCAAATATTCACATATTTTCAAATACAGAGATACTGAATTTCCCCCAAAATAGTCTTTCCATGCGATGTGTGAGCTCTGATTAGCTTTGTATAATTATTGAAACTATTTTAGTGAATATTTTAGTTTATTTATCAGCTTAAATTGCTTCTTTTGGAATGGTCTGTTTTAACTTTAGGTATTGCAGAAGTAATCTTCAAGGTTCATTTCAGCAAAGCACCGCAACTTGTACTTAACCATTAGTAGGTGGTAAATTCATTTATATTCAACTATGCCCCTAAGAGCTGTTTCATTTAGCACATGCTTATTTCCCACTACATTTGAAGCTTAGTGCACTGCTAAGTATTTTTTGCTGGAGACAAATCATTTTTGTCTGTTTTGCATCTGTGGTTATGCCTTTAAGGATCTGTCTTCTTCCAACATAATTGCTGGCTCCTATGTATTCTTTGGGAGTTCTCATTCCTTGATCTTTACCATTCCAGCAATGTCTTACTGGGTCTGTTCTACACAGCAAAATTCATCTACACATCAGACAGGTCGAGGGTACCACCGCTTTTTATTCTTTTTGTCTTTCCCATCAGTATTTCTTCAATTAGTTATCTTTCCCTGGTAAATAATGGTAAAATTATTTTCCCATCCTTTTTCTTTCATGTCTTTAATTATGAATTATGACCCTTCTCTAACTGCTTTTCTTCATTCTGGTTTATCACTTCTTGACAAAATGTAGAACTTGTTCTTCATCTCTTCTCCTATCTTTGTTTGTGTTATCTTGGGCAATTTAACTGCTGTTTTTAAATACTGTTACCAGTTCATTGGTTGGAAAAAATAAGGTATAAAGGGAACTTGTCAGTCTTTGGACAGGAAAGCTTATAATAAGGAAACAAGTGCATAAGATAAGGATTATTTTTTTAAGGCATTTGCTATCATTAGGAAGAGGCAGTGAAAAGAAGAGATGAGATACGAGGGAGCAGATGCTTAGCAGAGCCCTAGCTAGGTGCCAGACTAAGACACTGAACAGGAATTTCTGAAAAGGGACTTAAAATTTGATAGTCTTTTTTTGGATAGTCTTTCTTAAAAATAGCCTGTGGGTCCTGCTAGCTGTGTGTCTTCAAGTCTGCGTGATGCATCTGTTCTTATGCTTCAAGGACAGAGTGTGTGTTAAAGCTTTCTCTGAAGTGGGGTTATGAACAGACACTTTTGAGAGAGAATCCATCTCTGAGTAACCCTGACTAAGTGCAGTGCTGTTGGAGAAGAGGAATTGTGTCAGGATGTGACATCAGGTGAGCAGTGTCCTACTGCTGCTTCCTAATATGAAGACATAAGAGACTTGCAGTCCAAAATATGTGGTGATATTTCATGGCTGTCTTGGCAACAGAAAACACAGCTGTCCTGAATAGCACTTTGAGGTCTTTTGTCTTGGAGTGGTTCTGCCTTCAAGTAATGCTGGAGAAGGATGACTGGTGAGGTCTTCCAAATCATGCTGGGATGGCTGAAAGGGCCCCCAGGCCGTCTGCACGCCCCTCGGACAGAGGTTAATGCCCTGAGACCAAAAGGGCTGAATCCACAGAAATGTTTGCTTCTCAGCTACCTCTGAATTAACACCCAGAACCCACCATCAGTTTCCATTTGTGTCAGTGAGCTGGCCCCAAAACTGTGGTGACTGAGTGCTTCTGTTGGCTTTGTGTGGCAAGACTGTCACACCCCATGGGGGAGGAGTGGTAGAGTTAAATCTTGCAGGGAAATACATGTCAGAATCCCCGTGGATACAGAAGGCTTTGATAGGTAGAGGCACTCAGCAGGTAATGCTCAGAGTGTTTCAGGATCAGATATTAGTGATCTCGAGAAAGATTTAGGCACTAGGGTAAAGATTATTGGGCTTGTAATGTTTGTAGGGAAAAAAGCAAAAACATCCATATGTAGTTTCTAAGTGTGTGTAAGTATATATATATATTTAAATATTGTACTAAATTTTGATGCTACTGTATGATTTGCTGTGTCACACATGAATCGTATAGCCAGGTATCCAAGCAGAACAGCCAACCTTATAAAAATTTGTTGTGGACTTTTGTTTCAGCTGCAATATTTAGTTTATGATATGCACATATATACATAAATATTTAAAAGAAGCCTCTCTATGGTTTCTGTCAATCTCTCTTGATAAATGTTTGGGATTAAAACCTTCTTAAAGCTTCCCTGTTGGGATAACAGCACAACCTGTTGGTGCCTGAATCTTTGTTCTGCTTATATGCAGGCTGGAAAGGACATTTTACATAACAAAGCATGGGGAGCTGACTCTGAAGGAGATAACTTCAAACATGAATCAGATTTTGGTTATTTTCTTTGAATTAAGAATTTTCCTGCTGTGTCCATGGGTTTATGTAATTTAAGTTCAGAACACACCAGTTACTGCTGTTTACTATTCATCTGCACAGCAGGTAGCAATCTCCTTTTATTAACCTTTCCAAATGCTTTTGCAGGTTGTGAAACTGAAAGGTCAGGTCCTGTCTGTGATGTATCGTTTTCGCACCAAAAACCGGGAGTGGATGCTGATCAGAACCAGCAGCTTCACGTTTCAGAATCCTTACTCTGACGAGATTGAGTACATCATCTGCACCAACACCAACGTGAAGTATGTGCCTTTCAGATGCTCACGTACATGGTTTTGAAAGAACTGAAGCATTACTTTTGCTGTTAGCAATGTAAATGCACATTCAGATTCTTGTGGTAGCCTGTTTTTAGCCACGTTTTGTGATGCTGTTGCAATCTGTAGTAGGGTTTTTCTGCGTTGTAAGATCCTGCAGCATAGCTGTTTCTCTGTGTCATTATCTTGCAATGCTTCCAGGGCCTGGCTGCACCAGGAGAGATGTCACTTATCTGTTACGTCATTCAACAAACCCATTGATCTCAATCCAGGCTTTTTTAAACTAGCAGAGAGCTTCCAGCAGCCAACCAGCTGTCATGATATTGGCTTCATTTGTTAGCCAAAACGAAAATTATGTCTCTGTGTTAACAAGTAGCACACAAGTTATCAACACTCCTGCCTCTTTTTCACTGTGATCATACCGTTAGGTAGTCCTGGGTATCCTCTTACAGCCTATGAAAGCTGATGATGTGATTTCCTACTAGGCTGAAGTGGGAAGGGTTCCTACAATTCAGTTGAGATCTGATGGAATATCCCCAAGTATGGGGATAGATCCAACCCCTTATATGATGAGGGTAATGAAATCATCCTGTCTTTGAATAAATACTTTCAAAAATCTGTCACTGGATCTGTTAGAAGTCAGTTGAATTAGTGGGTGTCTCATTCTGCAGCTGATGGAGCTGCTTCTAAAGAAAAGTCTTGCTAGGAGTACAGCAGGGTTTCGTCACTGTGTAACTGAGCAGAGGTTTTGGAGCCTCCTGAGTTCCAAGCCAGCAACTGCAGGAGCTGATCTGGTCTTGATAAAGCTGTTGCTTTATAGTTGGTAGGTGGCGGTTTTTGTTGTTGTTGTGTTTTGTTTTGTAATAAATATTTTTTTTTATTTCCAATATAAAAATCTATTTCTAAAACAAGATCTGTGTCTGGTCTGACCAGAATTGTTTCTTGTGTTTCTTTTTTTTTTTTTTCTTTTTTTTTTGCCAAGTGTTTAACTTAGAGGAAATTATTGGATTTAAGATCTCAACCTGTTAGACTGAAAGTGCATGCTGAAGGAGCAGTCTACTAGTGGAGATGCACGCTGGGAGCTCCACTTGTAAAACCAACCCCCTGGGGCTTTGGCATTTGAACTACTAGAAAGCTAGGATGTGTCTGTGTGTTCCCTGACTTGCTCCTGGAGAAAGGTGTTTGGACGTGGCACCTACCTGGGCTAGAAGAGTGGCACTTTCAGCCTTTTGGAACCCATCATCAGAATCAATTTGCTTAGTTTTTTTGTACCCCAAGTGTTTGTTTAAACAACTGAACTGTTTATGGAAAACAAACATGGCCTGAAATCAGACAGCTAATCATCCCTGTCTGTGCTGTGAATCAAAATAGATATTTCCTCATTTTTGCTGCCCCGTATTTGTTTCCAAAATGATTTATATATGCAAAACCAAGCCTGCAAAATAAAAGGCAACTGCTGCAATCTGTCCTAGGATGGCTTAATTGTACTTTGTTCCCAGGAGTCCACAGCTCAGAGAGTGGGACTGCAGACTGTGTTGTGTTTACTCTGGGAATGTTTTTCCGAGACTCCGCTATACTGTGCAGCTTGGCATCACGGCACTCGCTGAGATGAATAGGGTTGTGCCAGCTTCTGGCTCTTGTTATATCTCTCATGCTAGGTCTGAATAACAACCCAGCAATGTTGCCCTAATATGGGAATTGCCTGCTGCTACTTTGACAGAGGATGTTCCCTCTTTTCTGTAGTGTTGAAAATGTTCCTATGGCAAGATAAAACCCATTAGACGTCTGCTTTTGAATAGTAGAAAGAATGCGTTATTCAGACTGTTTCTGTTTTTCTCCCTGTTCTCTCACACTCCTCAGACAGATGCCCAAAGAGGACTCACTGTAATGGAGTGCTCTTCCTGCCTGGTTCTGGATTTATTTATTGTTGGGGGGTCATGTTTTGAATTTTGATTTCCTAGAGGCGTTGTTTGGCATGGTAACTGCTGATTTCTGCCTCGTTCAGCTCCAGCTAGGGCTGGTTGGTCAGCCCTAGCATGCGTGGCTGTCCCTGCATGTTGGTGGCTGCATCCAATGCTCCAGATCCAGCAAAATGCTTCACAGCAGCATCCGATGCTCCGAGTCCAGCAAAACGCTTCATGTGGAGACCAAGCAGAGGTGCCTTCCCCTGTGCAGCTGGAGGCAGGTCTGCACAGACAGATTTGGCTTTATCCCTGAGATAACGTAGCTCCATAAAATGCAGGTTTGAGGCAGTAAAAACAATTGAAGATGCAATTTTAAAAAGACAACGTACCCAACAGAACTAAGTTTAAATCAGTTTTTAACTTAGAAGAGCTTAAAGCCACAGTGTGTATACCTGTGTGTCTGTTCAGGCAATAGCTCTAATTTTGTGGTGGTCAGGGAACAGTGTTTTCCCAAACACTAGACTGTAGAGGGCAGTGATGGTTCCAGTTGTGGAGGTATTAGTTGATTTTTTTTTATTATTTTTTCTTTTCTCTTCCTGTTTTTCCCATCTTTTCTTTTTTCTGTTTTATGGATTTTACTTTAGAGCTTTAGTCAACTTTCCAACTCTGCTTTTGGTGCACAGGATAATGAAAGATTAGGTTCAAATGTTCAGTTAGTTCCTTGCAGAAAAAAGAGAAAAAAACCTCTCAGTTTCTCTTGGGTGCAGTCATCCAAGAGAAACTTCCTGGAGAAATGAAGCATTTAATGTTTAGCATTTGTGCTGTGTTCGGCTGAAAAGAAGAGTCACCCATTCAACCACATCTTCCTGTGTATTTGTGGCTGTTTGATTTCCAAAAAGAAATAATAATTTTGATTAATGTTCATTTAACAACTACATAGGGTAGTGCTTGAATGAAATAATCTGTCACGGTGACAAGTGATTTTTTTTAAGCCTTTATATATGTAAACAAACCCTATTTTTCTGACCTTTGTGGAAATCTTGATGCTTTCATTTTTGTAAACACCAAAGTCCGTGCATGTTCCGCTGCATGCATTTATGAATCCTCTGGTTGTCCTGAGCCTCAAGATTATTTTTGTCTCGGAGAGAGCTGGCGCAGGTCGCTGCTGGAGGCAGTCTGCCGAATGAATCAGCCATGCTTGTGGGACCGATGCTTTCCGTTTCTGATTCTCATGGGCCAAAACACTAATGAGATCGACTCTTTTGATAAAATTTCAGTCTGTGGTGGTGGTGCTGAAGACTTGCTTTCTCATGATTGCTGTGTATCTGTGCACTATCTGGTCCATCAAGGCCTGTGTAAGACAGATAGTTTTGTAGTGGTGACTTTGAGATTATAGGCTAAGAGAGAGAGACTTCAAGACTTTCTGAAAGAGGACTTTATGATGGCAGCCACAAAGCTTTTATTACTGCATTTTCGTTCAAAACAGATCTGGGAAGTATGTGTGCTTGTATCATGTACAATAGCATGGTAAAGATACGGTGTTGTTTCAATATGGAGACTGTTAAATTTAAAGTTCAGATCCTTCTTTTCACTTTGATGTCTGAAAAGGAACACATAAGTTCAGTGTTTATATAGAGAGATTAATTCAATTAAATCCTCTCCAATGTCAGAAGGAACTTTATCAGAATATCTCCTTCTCCTCTGTCCTTGTTTCAGCTAGGATAGAATTAATTTTCCTCCTAGTAGCTTGTATGGTGCTGTGTTTTGAATTTAGGATGAGAATAATGTTGATACCACCCTGATGTTTTAATTGTTGCAGAGCAGAGCTTACACTAAGCCAAGGACTTTTTGGCTTCTCACACGTCCCTGCCAGTGAGCAGGCTTGGGGTGCAGCAGGAGCTGGGAGGGGACAGAATGAGGACAGCTGACCCAAACTGGCCAAAGGGATGTCCCATACCATGTGGCATCATCCGTAGCAATTAATATGGGGTGGCTGGCCAGGGTAGGGGGGATTGCTGCTCAGGGATAGTCTGGGCATCGGTCAGCGGGCGGTGAGCAATTGCATTGTGCATCACTTGTTTTGTACACATTCTTATTACTACTATTATCATTGTCATCATTATTTCTTTTCTGTCCTAATAAACTGTCTTTATCTCAACCCACAAGCTTTTATTATTTTTTTTTCCAATTCTCTCCCCCATCCTGCTGCAGGGGGCAGGGTGAGCAAACAGCTTTGTGGTGCTTAGTTGCCAGCTGGGTTAAACCACAACATCCTCCAAGGAAATTTGAATTAACTGTCAAAAAGCATCTCATTTGCTGAGAAATTTCTTGTTCAAGCAGAGGATTTTCCCAGTTTCACATTGGACCGATGGGTGAGCCAGGAATTCCTGCAGTACAGGCAGAAGCCAGTGTTGACCTAGGCAATACCTTACTTGCTATGTTGGGTAACATTCAGAGCCAAGAAATTTTGCTTTTTTTTTTTTTTTTAAAGCTGTGAAACCAAAATCAAAACCAAGGGTAGTTTGGGTTTTGGTTTTGAAGTCAGAAAGCAGTTTGAGTTTCGCCCAAACTGATACTAAGTCCCTGTTCCATATCATCACACAAAACCCATGTGGCAGTGAGTGACCTGGGTGTGTTGCTTCTTCAGTCAGAAGGGCTGGTTGGATGGTCAGGGTCTGAAGTGACCACAACAGCAGTGTTCGGCTCTCCCTGGTCGGATGCTCCTTGACTTGCTGCATTGGCTTCTTCCAGGTTTCAGACATCATTTGCTCTATTTATACAGTAGCAGCAAACAACAGCAGAAGATGCTAACCTGCCTGTGCTTTTCAATCTGAATTAGGTGCAGCATAACCTATATAGAGCTCAGGGAAGAAACACTGAAGTATTTGATTTTTATAGGAAGTGGATTTGCAAGGTTGTTCACAAAGTCCAGTGCTGTTAACACAACATGGATTTTACATTGTATTGCATGAGTACAGTATAAATACTGAATGAGTATTAGAGACAATAGAAAAGGGCGAAGGAGTACTAAGTTAGAGAAGAGCCTACAAAATGAGTAACTAGTAAGTATGCTGTTTTGCTTGGCTCATTTATATGTATATGGCTAAATCAAGAAAACATGCTTTCTACAGAACAGAAGAGACCTAATGTGCTGTTTATTGACACGCGCACCGAGTCACTGGTAATAAAAACAAATGAAACAGTGTAATTAGCTTTCACGTTAACAACAGGATTTAATGGGTGTTTATTGTCCACAGGGTAGTATTTAGAAAAACTTCCTCATAGATTTGCCATGATTAAATTACCTCCCATAGTTCTGTTGGAAGAGCATGCATTTTGTGCTTGCAGAACAAAGAACGTCTATGCATTCCAGGGGTAATCTTTTTTAGGATTTTTCTGTTGACTAACGTAATGTGAAAAATCCATGCCTCTATAATGACCTGGATGGATAACTTTTTTGCTTGTTACTCATGGTACAAAAGTGATTCTGTGTATTATGTATTTTTAGATAGTAAGGCTAGCAAAAGGCACTTGGGCATCTGCTTTGATCTTCTGTGTGATGCAGGTCACAGATTTTTTGTCCAGTTTCCCATGGAGTCTAACAGTAAGATAATAGTAACTCTAATACTGCTTATGTAAAGTATTGTCTAGAAAAGCAACAAGTCAAGACTAAAGGCATTAAGGAATGGAAAAACCTTTCATGTCAGTAGCTTGTTGAAGTGGTCCCTCACATTCCTATCATTTTGTGCCTAGTTTCTTGTTTGACTTGGTCTTTACGTTTGTTTCTCAGTTGTTTGACATTTGAGCCTATCTAGATCAAAATGTTAAAGAAGGTTTGGATAAAAATCTAAAATTTAAGCCTAAATCTAAAATTACGTTCTAGTTATCTAGTTTTGAAATCCACAATCTTGCTCTTTTGCAACACCTCATCTACTGCAACTGCCTGCCTGTTAGGGGATTTTTTCCTTTGGAAAGAAGTCAGAAGCATGCAGAACTGCAACCCCTGTCAAGTATTATTTGTACATATCAAGCTTGTTAGTCCAACTTCAGTCTTCCACTAAAGCTTGAAGATGAGGATAGTTTTGAAGGTTTTATATCTCCTTTGGTATCTGAGCAAAGAGCATAATAGATAGTGTGCTTCTTGCACATCCTCAGGTCAGAAGTAATCTTGCCAGTTGTGACCAGGTGACAGAAAGCAGCCATTAATGGGAGGTTCAAAGCATTCAGGTGATTTATCTGTAGGAACAGAATTAAGTAATTGAGAGTGTAATCCCCAAAAGACAAAATATTTGATCACAAAATATTCCTGTTCTATTTTTGTGACCTTTAACTGAAGTGCTTTTCAATGATTCAGATCTTCTTCCTCAGGCAAAACCAATAGCTTTTTTGAGGGACTATTCCAACGCTTAAGTCAGCAGTGTACCAAAAGTCAAGTCTTCTGTCTTACATTATCTAACTTTTATAGAGCGCATTTAGGTGCGCTACTGGGAATGGGCTTGAATGACATCAGTGTGCCCATCCTGCTCGAGCTCTGCACTGCTGTGGTTGTGTGGCTGTCACACTCTGCTGTCCCAGCTCAGCACTGGGACAAAGCTGGGTTTGTGTTTCTGCATAGAGGCGTACAGATCTGCGCTCAGACAAGTGAGCTTCTCAATGACCCAACGTTGGGATGGTGCAAGTCCAAAAGAGAAGGCATAAGTTCACATTCTAATAGCAAAATTCTAGTATTAATAGACTGGTAGCAATTTTGCCTTTCATTTCAAGAGGGTTGTTTTTTGTATTGGATAAACTTTACTGCACAGTGGGTTCTTGTGTTGCCATTTTTTTATGGTAATTTCAAAATTTCCAATAGAAACAAAATAGTAGTCTGCTTTAAAATAAAAAAATAGGAGCTTTGAATTTATCTTTTCAGAATTTTTTTAAAAAAAGTAAAGAAGAGGGTTATATTACAACTATATAAAAGATACGTATGTTTTTATAAACAGTATTTTTGCATGGAGGATGTGAATATGCCTGACTTACCATAACCTGTGTACTGTCCATACAAGTCTTCATCTGTAAAAAATATCACCATTGGTTATTTCTCACAACTTTCAAAGATCTTATCTGTTGGCCCTGGCTAATTGCTCTAGTTAAGTAACAGTGCCTGACACTAAACACAAATCGAGTGCATTGCAAGGACCTGCAGTTTTCAACACTAAAGTTCTTCATTCTAGCCTACAGCCTTAATATTTATTGGCTCTGGCAGCTTATTCTGAACTGTTTTTCTGTTGTTGCTGCACATTTAATTTTTCCTAAGTTCATATAATTGGATTAAAGCTATTACTTCCAGTGATTCTTATCTCATTTAAACAACTGATATTTTTTTTCAGTTTTGATTAGCATTAACATGAGACTTGTGTTTTCTGTAGCATTTCTTATTTCTTGACACAAATTGATTTAAGGTAATGCCTTGATTTTAGATAGTAGTACAAGTAATTTATCTCTTGATATTCACTTCCTTAAAAGCTTCAGAAATTAGATAGAATCTGGACATGGATCCTGAGAAGAGTAGAACCAAAGCATGTTAAATAGGTGTTACTACAAATCAGAATTTATGCAGTTTGAGCTCAACAGGTTGTTGCATTCGGTCTCAAATTTGATTGCTTTTTTCTTACCGAGTGGCATAATTCTGCATCATTGTTACTGGAGTTTTACTGGTTTAGTTCAGCAGGATCAGGGAAGGAATCTGACATACTCATATTAAACATGAGGAAGATATTCTTGGAGTCTTAATAGTGAAGTCTTAAAGCCTGTCTAAGGAAGCTGGATTCCATCCTCCATCACTTACCCACCTATATTTCTGTGCTATTACAGAAACACCCTTCCTGTGCACTACTGTGCACCACATTCCTGTGCTGCAAGCTTTCTCAGTGAGAAAGCTTAAAAAAACAGATGAATCTCATTGGAAAGGACTTACTAAATCACTTGAGAGACACATCAGAGTATAAAATAGACCATGGCTGTTCTTTTTTTTTTTTTGTATCTTAACTGTTTTTTGTAATGAAGTCATTTTGTCTCCTTTGCAGACAACTTCAGCAACAGCAAGCAGAACTTGAAGTGCATCAAAGAGATGGGCTGTCATCCTATGACTTATCACAGGTGAAATTTCTCAATAGTTTTTATTTCCATGCCTGTGATCTTTTAAAATGTAAAGCAATGGCAGATATCAGCAAAATTAAAAATGCACTGTGACTGTCCCTGGATTCCTTTTTGTCAAAGTAGCTGGAGGGGCTCATCTTCCTCTGTGTATCTCAACAGGTGCCTGTTCCAAGTATACCAGCTAATGTTCATGAGGGTGGAAAGTCTGTGGAGAAGCCTGATGCTATCTTCTCCCAGGAGAGAGATCCTAGATTTGCTGAGATGTTTGCTGGAATAACTGCTTGTAAGTGAATGTCTCTGGTGTTTAATTTTTAATACTGTGTTAAGTTTGATTACATGATGTGGAGCACATCCTTGAGAGATCGAAGAGAAAGTATTATAAGCAAAGTCAATTTGCAAGACATTTCCTAGAATTTGTCTTTAGTTGATGTTTTCCCTAAAAAATGATGAGGAGAAAAGCTTTAGGAATGAAGAGCTGTTGTTTCACCAGAGTTACTTATTTCTGATTCTGTTTTTATTCCACAGGAGTACCTTAAACAGTGCTCATAGATACTAAACATACCGAGCAGAACTTGCGGTTTCTAAGAATATGTTTTTTCTTAAACAGCAGATGTGAGTTCATCTCTCTAAATAGACACGGACTAAGAAAGCTACCAAGCAGTCTCAAGATAGGCCTGCAATTTTTATCATATCACCAGCTTTTGCGTTGATGTTTTGCGGTACATATGCTGTCTTAAAATATAGCAATATCCTTGTTCTCTGGGGAGATGAGGCATCTCCAGTCATGTCTGTCCAGCGTCCTTGCTCTGCTCCCCACAGCTCTTCAGCCTGCTGGCAGGTACTTGTAAGGGTGAGACGAGTCTCAGAAACAGAAAATTCTTCTATATTTCATGGAAACTGCTGTGAGGACAGAGTCCTCACCCAGTACCCTCTCTGAAGGATTTCGCAGCCCTGTTCCAAGGGGTAATAGCCAACTTGTCAGCCGGACAGATGTAGTCCCAAACTCGCCCCAAGTTATGCTGCCTGTTCCCTAACAGACAGAAGTCATTGAGAAGACTGGCAGCTGAAAGGGTCATCCGAAATATATCTGTAGGAAACCAGGCTCATTACTTCCACTACTCATGGAAGAACTTGTTAATTGTTTATTGTTCTTAACTGTCCTCACTGAAAAAGAGAAGTTTTTACATTTGTTTTAAATAAATCAATGTGCAAGCGTCACGCAGCGCATGAAGGAAACAACCCACAGGGTCTAACTCCAGGGGTGCTGGGAGGTGACCTCACTGCATTGGTTTCTTATGTCTGGCTTGGCCGTTTCAAATGGAGAAGGCAGTGTAATTGCAGGATAGTCTTGATGCTCTGTCCTCCTGTTCCCGAGACTTCTCTGTTATTCCTGTTCATCCTTTTCTGTCTACTCTAACAGTGAAGTCAACAGCTGAGGCCATAAAAGGGGTCCATTAGAAGGTAGCAGGACTCCAACCTCAAACACCGGAATATGTTTTTCCAAGCAAGAACATCTTGCTTTTTGGCTGCCTTATTGGCTCCTTTTCAGGCACCTCTCAACTGTTTGCGGGGAGGGGTTAGGGTTAAGGGTGTAGCAAGCTGGGAGGTTATGTTCTTGGAAATGCCATTTCTCTTTTAATTCTTATCAATTTACAGGCTATGCTTTTTCTGGGACATTCACCCTGTCTGAATTTCTCATGGGAGCTGTGATCAAGGTCTTCTCTGAATGATAAAAAGAGATGGTTCTCAGTTGGAGATGAGATAGTCTGTCCAAAACCAATATTGACAAACCTGCATGCTGCCTGCAAGACATTTGCATTATGTTGATACCAGATCTCATGCTCTGCTACGATCTGTAAAAATATGGGTTTGACGTTCAAGGATTGTTGCTGTAATCTCATGCAGCAGCCACGCGTAGTTAAAAAACCTAAAGTGGGGATAGGAGGGCTTCACCCATTCATGCAGGTGCCTTGAGGCACGGGGTGGTGCAGTTCTTACAGAGATGTTTATTCTACAGGCTGAAACACTGCTTCTGCTTGGAGAAGTGTGTGTGTTTGACCAGTAAAGGGACTGAGTGCAGGGAAGGGGATTAGAGAGAAACAGGACTAAGAATGCAGGTAAAGCATCAAAACAAAAAAGATACTTATTGCTTTATCAAAGGTGAGAGCAACGAAGTAGTGTGTAGAGACCTGAGTGGAAATAAGAGATTTTAAAGCCAGTTTATCTGCTTGCAGTTAAACTGTCCCCTTTGTCTCAGTCTCATTTGCAGCATGGACCCACTAGCTGCCGTGGCAACTCCTCACTTGAGGAATTCGAGTTCATTGAGGACATTCTCAATATCATTGTTCAGACATTTTCAAATATCTAAAGTAGCTGCAGGATTTTGGCTCAGTCTTTCCAACCCTTGGGAGCTTGGTATCTTAGGAAAAGGTGGCCTTAGGAAATGGGAGATCTCAATGACATCACTGAGGGAAATAAGGCAAAATCTGTCCTTCTTCCTGATGTCCTTATCCCAACCCATTTTCATTTCTTCTCTCTTACCATATGCACAACTTTCTCTAAACCTTGTCCTCATTTCTCCCTGCTGTTTTTATATCAGAGTGTAGGTTTGCAGCCCGGACTCACAGTCTAAGCAATATGTAGCCAGTTAGGAATTTTTACCACCTTCTACATTAAAGTGGAAAGCAATGCCAGCTTGCATCAGTGGCATACACAGCCTTTCTCTGATGTTCTTGTGAGGTAATTTGAGGCAACTTCTCCCTTTGGGAAGGTGAGCTTAGATACTTGTTAAGAAAATAGTGTAATAAAAAGTTAAGTAGCAGAGAAGAGCTGATGTGTGTTGGAGAATTCTCGTAAGCCAAGCTCACGGGGTCGCTAAATGCTAGAGAAAATTAAAAAATACTTGGAATACTTGTGAGTTGAGTGGGCCTTGTGTCCAGGAGAGCACCTTGTGAAACGAGTGGGAGTCTGAAAAGAGCAGAGGGGAGAATGAGGAGGCAGACTTGATTTCTGAGCCTGTCGGAGGTGCACAGCAACAGATGGCTGCAGTCAGCAGTGCCTTGTGGGGCGTTTTGCACCTAAAGGTGGTAAGGGAAGATGGGGAAAGTGAGTAAAGGGGAATGGAAAGGACCTTTCAATTATTTTAACGAAAGTAGTAGCAGTGAGTTTCTCTGGGCTTTAGAATAATCCAGTGCCAGAAAATTAATTTAAGGGACTAAATAGCATTGTTTCTTGTCTAATTCAATTAGAGATTGATCTCCAGTTGCCACATTAAGAGTAGGCTATAAAAGTTAATGACATTTCTATGTGCGTGTTATGTACTATGCTAGCCTGTCTTCCCGCACCCCTGGGATGCTTACATCCTATTTCTTGGCTCCCTCAAGCCATGTATAGGGCAGCGAAATTCACAAGAGACCAGTGTTATGCCTTGCTGCAGCTCATCTGCATGAGTCTCACTCACGCTCAGAAGCAAAGAGCCTCCAGACACCAGTGAGACAGACGCAGGTAGAGGCAGCAGCATCGCCCCGGTTAGCTGGTGACCTGGGGTTTGCAGGAGTGCCCCCAGGCTGCTGGGAGAGTTGGGTACTCCACTCCTGCTGTCCCGGGTGCAAACAGACTCTCAGCTGGTTAGGACAGGAACTCTGACACTGTTCCTTCGATCCTTTAACCCACCTGGGTGTGAGCCCTCACTACAAACACCTGCGACAGCAGCAGTGGCACTGCGGGGCTGCTCCTGGTGCCAGAAACAAACCCTTGCCTGAGGCTGTCCTCAGACAGACCCCAGAGGCACACGTGCATCGGGCCTTCTGCAGGCCTGTCTCAGTTCATGTGCCATTCCTCCATTCCTCTTTCTTTATTCCAGCAAATCTACGTTCCCCTTTCCAGGCAATAGCTGGGACTCGTGTACCCATCGCTTCCCCCTCGGCTGCTGCCTGTGGCTCCCCTCCTGCCTACATGGTCTGGAGCAGCTTCCAGCGGGCACAGCAAAGGTCTGGACTGCCTGGCCGGGGGGCATGTACCAGTGTTATGTTCCATGCAAACAATAGCATTAATGAGGTACATCCTGGAAGGGGCTGTGAAGTAGACACAAACCAGCTGTGGCTCTAGTTTCACATTGAATTGTCATATGGCCCTTTTGTGTCATTCCTAATGTATTCCACAGGGCCTCTTCATAAAGGTTTAAGAAGGGAAGAACAGTCCCTGCTGTGTGTATACATAGCAATTTTCATTAAAAAAAAAAAAAAACCTCTAACTTTTCTATTTCTGTGATTTGATTTTCTTTTGTAGCAGATAAAAAAATGATGGCCTCAGCATCCACAGCAGGAAACCAGCAGCTTTACTCACAGGGAAGCCCATTTCAGCCAGGACATTCAGGAAAGACTTTCAGGTACTGTAGTCCAGATCCTGAGCATATCAGCTGGTGATTGAGGGGGAGGCTGTTCTCTTTCAATGTGGTGGAAACTAAACTGACCAATGTTGAAAGGGCTTTCTTTACATTTATGGACTTTTCTTTGCGTATGTTTGACTCCTACATGTCTCAGCATTTGGGCTAGGCTTACAAGATGAGAAGATTTGGATCGCTCTGTTAAAAATAGTGACTGGTAAGTGCAACTGGAAAAAGCTAAGAAACAGCAGCAAATCATGAAGGGAAGCAAATCTGAGAGGTGATGGGGAGCCTCAGAGATCCATCTGAGTAATGCTCACCTAACCTGGGAAAGTGCAAAGATTTGTTGTGCACTTGGGGCTGTCAGTATATCTGCAGGCTGCCTTGAAGGGCATCATTTTTCTATGACCCAACCAGAGGGGTGCTTCATCCTTAACTTCTGATGAAGCCTGGGATGCAGCATGAGCATTTTCCTAAGGCACCTTCGAAACATATTAGGTGACGGTGTAACACTTCCAGGGGTATTTTTGAGTTATTCAGACTGCATGTTGTTGCCCACCAGCTGGCAATACAGATTTGGCTAGTTGGAAGTTTCAAAATTTGCATGCTCTTCCATTCACTTCTTGAGAGTGTGGTAACAGTGATTATATTTATCTTATTGTCCTTCATGTCACCATTCTGCAACTGTGACACTGAAGTTTCATTCAGAGACTGTTGATTCCAGGAATTAGAAACCATCTGCAAATTATAATTTTATATAAACCATTGTGTTCTTAGGGTTATAATTGCTAATAATCTCAGTGGGGAGAAAAATAATCCCTCTGCTTGTTTTGTCCAAGTAAAAACCAAGAGTAACTTACAATACAATGCTTTCCTGACAGTGAACTGAAATGTCTTTTAGTTGGATATTGTATATTAGTGGATGGTTGACGTGCCATCTTGGGGTTTGGCATGTGTTTTGTTCATTTCCTTTGTTCATTCCTGATGTTTAACTGTAGCTTTATTTCTCCTGTTCTATTACATCGAGTAACAACACAGACTAGCATTTTTACCCCTGATGAGCTGTCCTTCCTGAATGCTCTCCAGGCAGATCCATTAGGTTACTGAGCCCAGCAGCCTTTAGGCACTGTTTTTTAGACTCATGGTTTCAAACTGTATGCTCCAGATGCCGTCCAAGCCCTTCAGACGATGCGACTTGCCAGTGTGGCTGAGAAGGTGTTGGCATTAGGGCCAGCCCTCACGAACAGCTATTGTGTGCTTCCAGAGGTCAGCCAAAGTTAGATGGACTTTTTGGTTCACATTGCCCACTTGGGAGACTCTGTGCTAGTAAAAAATAAAAATAAAAAGTAATAATAATACAGACACTGCAAGGAATTTCTAGACACGCAGTTTTAGGCAGCTGAAGACAGGACAGCAAATCCCATATTCAGATGCCTGCCACATTTTGCTTACTACTGTGGGAAGTATTTAGTCAGTCTTCTCAGAGGATGCAGGTTCCTGCGTCCTCTTTGCTCAGCCTGGTTTACTTCTTTTCCTAATCTGCTCCCTTCTTTATCTGTAAAATGATTGTGAAAATAGACAATAGCAGTGGCATTGAAGAAAGACTGAACCATTTGATTCATGTACAAAAGCTTTTTTATATGTTGTCTTCATTTATATTTATTTAAATATTTATATAAAATATGTATAATTTTGAATATACATATATACTCATATACGAATAGCATAAACGCGTATTCATAATGTGTGGTTGTATATATTCAGTTGTTCAAGTGGTAAAGTCCTTTATATTATTTTCTTTCTGATTAGAAATGTCAGGGAAAATTCTCTGTAGCAAAATTCAGCAATTAGGAAGCATTAACATATAAACAAATTCTTTTGGAAAAGAGTTTAATTCCATGTGTGTACTTTTTTAATTCCACATTAATTTCATTTTTTTTCTTGATTATTGTTTTGCCTGAATATATAGCTACATATTCTTTATTAGCATTAATTGATAGAAACGTGAATTAAAAGCTTTAATTTTTAATATATAATGCACACCTCTTCATTTTCAAGGTAGGAAACAAATGAGGATGTATTTGTAATTATCTTTTTGTGCGTCTTCATTTAGGATGGCATTTCAGCAAATGCTTAAATACTGTTGACTTTTAGCACAAATTCAAAATGAAGTACCTGCCTAAATACTCTCTGCAATCAAGTTTTTTTTTAGTGCATTAGATAATAAACTTGGATGGAGCTAAGTGTTTATGTACAGTGTGCTAGATTACATTTTTTTCTTGCAGGGGATTATAGAAGTCTAATTCAAAATAATTTTGTCGACTGTGTCTGTTTGAACCTTCATTTTAGAATGCCAATAATCTTGATAGTTTTCTAGTGGTTCTAATTATTTTTTTAATTAATACAGGATGAGCAATTAGTTTTACTGAGATAATTATCAGGATTTCAGTATCTGGAATACTATTTGTGCATTGAGAATATATCCTACAAGCTGGGCACTGTTTCTGTTTCTTTAGTTCATCTGTGGTACATGTGCCTGGTGTGAACGACATCCAGTCTTCTTCATCAACAGGCCAAAATCTGACACAGATATCTCGCCAGCTAAATCAGAGTCAGGTGGCCTGGACAGGAAATCGCCCACCATTTCCAGGACAGGTACTGATTAAAGCTGTTCTGTTTTCACGGTCATTAGAGATTTGCAATCCCTCTTCTTTTTACAAAGGGATTAGTAAACTCCATTTATACTGTGATTAAATGTACTGTGTTTGGTTCTCAGAGGGAAATCTGTTCCTCCACTTCTGTTCCTTGACAGGTTATAATAATTTCAGACAGCAGCCCTATGTCTAACTGCATTTAGTTTGTAATAGTGTTCATAATAGCGGCAGTCACTGTACTGACATAAATCCCAGTAGAGGTCTCCTGCATTTATTTGTATGTGTGCACTGAACGAAATAAAAGAGGACAGCTGCTGTGCGTTAGTATTAAGCTCACTCCTTCTCTCTTTCTTGGACCAAGGTCTAGCCCCCAGCAATGTTACCCACAGTTAGCAGCATTACCTGGAAGTGGTACATACAAATCCAGGCATGAATTTGGAGCAGAGGCTACTTAGTCCATTGCCCTTCCATTAACCCTGCCTGGTGCAGCTGACAGTGTTATGTGTACTGGAGGAGATGTGTTGGCACATCTTTCAATGAAATGCCCCCCTTCAATAACATCAGGGCTGCATTAACCCAGAAATCACCTCTTGTTCTGGGTAACAAGAAATAAATGTGTCAGAACTCTGTTAAAGACAAAGAATATAAAATTACCATGTCTGATCCATTATTTATGCTGGTCTTAATCACTGATTTTCCATTCTTTAATAGGCTAGAATGGCATGGTGGGGTGGGCACCCCACTTTTTGTGTAACTGAGTTATTTCCACATTAATCACGTTGATGCTGCATAGCCCTCAGTGTGCCATGGTTATTCTGTTACACCTGCTTAACGAAATATAGTTGTAACGTTGACACTTTTTTTTTGGAACGATATGGAGGATGCTAAAAATGATGTAAAAAAATTACTCATCTCTCTTTCTGTCCAAGTCAACGGAGTTTATATGTGAGCATGGGGAAATTGGAATTCATTCATCCATCCTAAACAAATAGAGTTAAGCCTTGCAGAAGTAACACATCATGCTCTCATTGTCATTGTGGAAGCCTTTCGAAATGTGTGATGTATTAGGTTGGAACTGAGCTGAAGGCTTAATAGCATCTCCATCATATTATATGCCTGTTGGGATCTCTCTTCCTCCCCCAGGTCCCTTGCATTTGTCTAAGAGAGTAGCTTCACTTGAGCGCATTGATTGCCAATAAAAGTGCACATCATTAAAAGTATCTAGAGATGTAATCACCTTTAACTTCTATTTGTGGAACTGATTAGGCAGTGAGTTTTTCTTGGAACTGCTGGATTTGTTCGCGACGCAGGAGATGGGAAAGAGTTTATAAGCAGATTTTATCTGTAGCATTATATGTTGTTTTAGCACATTATTTTGGATGAGGCGCTTCACCTCCCTTAGTCTCAATGTACATGTCTCAAAGCAGTCTTGCGGTGTTTAATCATTTGTTTTACATTCTTGGAGATCCTATGACAATGCCATTATGTAGATGAAAATGACACCAAGTTGTTTTTTAATACCCTTGAACTAACTTGGCTGCACAATTAAATCAAAGTTAGACTGTTTATTCCCTGGCGATTCACACTCCCTCCCAAACCTTTTACAAGGCAAAATAACTTTGCTCCTTGTAGTTCTTAGGCAGGGAGAGAGCTTTGGAAGCTTCTTTGGCCAGTTTCCCCCAAGCACTGAAGACTCTAATCACCTGAAAACAATTTATATTCTACAAGACATTCACATAACTGATTTTACTGTGGTACTGCAAAATCAAAACATAGCAAATAAAGGTGAAGTCTTAGTAGCTGTTCAGTTTGAGATTAATCCTTGTAATAGAGGCGAAGGAAATCATGTTTTTGCAAGTAGCTCTGTTATTGAGTACATGCAAGTTAATAAGCAGGAGAGCTGTGTTGGTTTATAGCTTGTTGTGTTCTTTATGCAGCAATAAGTTGGCTTTGACAGAAATTAAACATGGCTGAGATGGGGATAATGTGCCCGTTTGCATCTGCAGAATTTATTAAGTCTTTGCTTTGCCTTGTTAAAATGTGAGTCTGCTGTGCTGCTCCTCAACAATAAAACTCATTCCTTTCTTATTCCCTTATTCCTCAGCAAATTCCGTCTCAGTCTGGGAAGGCTCAGTCATCTCCATTTGGGATTGGAACAAGTCACAGCTACCCAGCTGATCCATCATCGTACAGCCCTCTTTCCAGCCCTGCCACCTCTTCTCCAAGTGGGAATGCCTACTCTAGCTTAGCAAACCGGAGTGCAGGGTTTGGTAAGTTTTAAATGAGGTAGCACAGAAATGCACATAAAAAGGAAACTCTCCAGCAGTAACGTAGTTTAAAATCCTCCAACCTTTTCTTTTGGTGAGTCGGTTGGGAAGCCTAGGATGTAAAAGGATTCTGCTTTCTCCTCTTGAGCACGGTGGACTGAGATGACATGGTCCCTCCGTGATATCTCTCCTCTACATTTAGTAGACTTCAGAATGTTGTGACGTTTTGTGATATGAGGGTACTTCTATCCTCCGTAAATTGTGTCATGATAGATTCAAGAATTCCTTACATCACTAGTACATGTCCTCACAAGTTGTGGCCAGGAGGTTCAGTCTCTTTTCACTTCTAATGAGATTACTTACATGGAATGTTCAAATTTACATTCCTTCAATTTTTCAACTTCCCTGACTGCATAGTATCATTGTCCAGAGATGGCTTGCTTAAGTGTGGCTGGACACAGGATTTTCTGTACCTACAGTGCTGCTAAAAGAGTAAAAAAAAGAAATATGGATCTGTCAGTGAGAAGCACAGATGGAGTCCATGAAAGATGATGTTGCTGGCTGATAATAATCTGCAAAAAGCATAGGTAGCATCATGCTAATGTGTGTAATTTTCTCTTCTCTCTTGAGAATACCATGGGAGCAGCTCTGCTGCAGGTCAGCCTCTCTGAGAGCAGACCTGTGCTGCATTGCTTAGAATAAGTGCAGTGAAATGGAGCTCTTCCCACAGAGCTTATTCATGACTCCATTTTCATTTCCACTAGGCTTTGTACATTTGTTTATGAGACAGCCTTGCATTTCAGGCCTAAGCTACTTGGCAAGAACCCTTTCACCTAATGAGAAACATTACCTGACCTACATCAGTTTGGATGCTATTAATAACACAGCCTTCAGAAAGACGAATGTCTTCAACCTCCGGCTGGCAGTAACCGTTTTGCTGAAAAGAAGCATCATTTGCCTCACTGACTTAATTTCAACGTATTCTTCCGAGAAAACAAATGTTGCAGCTTTCTTTTAAAGGGTAACTTAGATGAATTTTATTTTGGCCAATAGAGTGACTGTAGGATTTCTGAGTCAGCTGAATTACTTGTTGTGGTAATGTCAGTAAGGGAAGAACTATAATTATCTATTTAAGCTGTGATAGAAATACGTCACTACAGCTTGTTTACTCTCCTGTAAAATGTTCACTTTATCTGTTTTGCATGGCTTAGCTGGTAGTCAAAAAGACAGGATTAAGCATGCGTTCCTTTATTCGCTAAAGCAATGACTATGGGATAGGGATTGATTTGACATTATAGGATCTGGTTATCAGAGACGTGGCATAACGTGGTGTGTGGAAATTTGGTGCAGGAAATTTGGCAGCTTTGGCAGAGGGTGCTGGTAATCTGGAAGAACCAGATCTACGCAGCTTGGTTCTTCGCAGCATTGGGAAGACAGGCAAAAAGTAGTAGAAATGGCTATTAAAAAAAAGAGAGAAAGAGAGGGGGAAAAAATAGAGGAAAAGTGTAAGCCTGGCAGCAAGCTTTCTAAATAATTCTTAGAAGGGGATATTGTAAATAAGAAAAAGAAAATTATGCAAAAAAAAATTTAAGTTCAGGGCCAGCTTGTGCCAACCTGTATAAGTACAGGGTAAAATGAGCTCAGCTAAAGTGTGAGTTGTGACTGTGCTCATGAAAAGTGTATGTGTAACAAGTGACTGAATTAATGTGTGTGGCATCATGTTTTTTTCTGGCATACTGTTTAGAAAAAACTCATCTCCCCAAAGTCATCATTTTAAGTGTGTTTACCATAAAACCGTGTTGTTCCCATTACTTTCTGTGAAATTTAAATGGCCTCAGACTTTTAAGAAGCCATCAGCACATGAACAGGATAATAATTTGCTATAGGCTGCCTGTTAAATAAATCATTTTGCATCTGTAATATTGGCGAACGTGACAGTCCAGCACAGCACTCTGCATTTAGTACAGCAGTGTCTGCATTTAATACAGCAAGTCTGTTGCCTGTTGATCTTACTGATTTTACATCTGTTTACAAAATCTGAAAGTGTGCTTCTCAGATAAACAGGTAACTGTGCAGGTAACCCACTGCTGCAGCAAGGATTAGTCTTTTAAAGAGACAGCATTTGGATGTTGCAGTTTGCTTAGCTTTTAAGTGAAATGGTAAATGTTAGTGACTAATTATGGCCAATGATTCTGTTTGTGCCTACAAAGCTGCAGAGGGATGCTTGAAAATTGTCTTCTGCTCTTGGCTTATGGCGTCATGGCACATTTTGCTGTTAACAATTCATCTGCCATGTCTGTGCAGCAAGGGCAGTGAGCTTTGCTCTCAGGTTGGCACCCACCCTGCCATCAGTGCTGAAACTGCCTTTGGCTTCCACCCAGCGGGGCAGGGTGGCACTCAGGGTGCTTTTTTGGAGAGGCATTTGCAAACATGGGCATCAGCGGATGAAGCCTCCAAAGCAGGTCAGTGTTTTGAAGGAGCTGCTCTCTGATTTCTGCCTTTTCTTTCCTCCTCCAGCTGAAGGTGGCCAGAGCAGCGGCCAGTTCCAGGGGAGACCATCCGAAGTCTGGTCCCAGTGGCAGAGCCAGCATCACAACCAGCAAAGTGGGGACCAGCATTCGCACCCGCAGCCCAGTCAGACGGAGGTGTTCCAGGTGAGGAGAGCTCACTGAGCCCAAAGTCCCTCTAACAAGTTCTTATGGCCAGTTTGAATAACCATGGCTCTTGATGAGCTCTGGGGCTAGCAGGGCTTGGAGCAATTACCTCTTGCTGTGTGCTGCTGTGGGTTTGCATTGCTAGGGGCTGGTGTTAGCTACAACTGAGATAGTTCTGTTTTTTTGCCAAAGAACAGCATCTTTGGTGATTTAAAATGTTGCTTTCCCTTCTTTTTTTCTGCCTGTACTTAGAGCGTAGGTATTTTGCAGAGAAGCCATAAAATAGTTCCACCTAGAGTGTTGTCTTTACCCTGGTGCTGACCTCTGAAATCCCAGTCAAGTCCAATTAGACATCAGTCTAATTCTGGATAGTTCCAGCAGGAAAGGAGTCTGATGCTGCATAGAAGAAAGCACCCAATGAGTTTTTGAGGCTAAATCCATTCAGATATTGGATGATTGGCAAATAATCTTCAGCTACCTGATTTCGCAACATCAAGTATTATTTTTGGCCTTCAACAATGGATGGAGTGGTCTTTATAAGTTAGCTTATAAAGTTGCTGTCCTTGTGTAACTTGTTTTTAAATTAAATGAAGACAACTTGCAACAAAACAATGCAGATAAGTACAAAAAAAGACAGCTCAAGCCCCAAGCAAGGTTTAGAAGTGGGGCACCTCATTATCTTATTTGTCTGCAAGACTGGGCTCGTGCTCAGTTGCTCTCAGGAATGCTGCAGAAGAGGAATTAGCCTGAAAATGTTCCTTTGTGAGGCCATGGTTCATTCACACAGGAACAAATAACATCACTGCATCTAGAATAACTACCCATCTTCGTGCTGCATGGCCAAGGCAAGATAGATTTGTTATATCTCTCTATAAGCAAAGTTAATCAACTTTGCATGTATTTTAACCCAAAAGCATCTTCAGGATAATTCCAGTGGAGCTGATAGCAGCGTAGTTCGATTGCCCACAGAGATGCAGGGCTGCCCACAAGCAGCATCTTGCTTTTGTGTCTAAGGCAAGTGCTGTGTCCCAGCAAATGTTTTTTGAAATTATGGAGAAGGAGTGCCAAGGATTAAATGGGAGAAAGGAAGAATTAGACTCACCTGCAGAGTACTTGGAGGTGAATTTGCATTTCGAGGGATTTAGGGTAATTACTGGATGTGATGAGAAAGTTGGATGAGCTTGATTGAAAGGCCTCCAAGAAGCTGCTGGGGCTGTTTGTGCCTGAAGCCAGCCCTGGGTTAGCTGGACATGAGGAGAGAGGCAAAACTCGAAAGAGGAGCTACCCTGCCAGTCTTTACCTGAGGAGACCTTGCCTCAGAGGTCCCAGCAACAGAAATACCTTCAAAGGGATGGAAATTTAAGCAGGCAGGGGCAAACAAAACTTCCCTTTGGCTGGGGAGGAATGTGTGGAAAGATAAAGGCTGACTCTGGCAGCTTGGAAACTGCCAGTACTGTCCACTGCCTCATTCTCTACTGCTGATAGCATGATACAGAGACCTCAGATGGATTTTAATCTTCCTTTATTTTGGGGCTACTGCTCAGTACACAGCTGCTCTCAGTAGTTATTCCTTCACACAGCAGATCTGGTGAGCTTTCTCATTTGTTCTTTAGATTTTGTTTTATTGTAAGGATAATGATCCATCCATGGCAAAACTTGGCTTTGCAGTAAGGGCTTATTATTGTAAAGACTGACAGGAAAAGCAAGCATAAACTCTGGTTTTCTCAGCAAGGGATGTCTTTTCCCTGTGGCTTCAGTCTCCGGCGGAGAGGAAAGGTTGAGTGTTTTTGAAGCCTCCTGCAGGGACCTCACTTGGCTCAAGACACGTGGGAGCAATTACCATGAAATCCCATTTGTTCTGAGGAGTTTCTGCCATTTCCTCTGCCACTGCATGTGCAGGAAGGCTGCTTGGGCAGCTTGTCAGCCAGGGTGGACGTCCAGGCTTCAATGTTCTTCAGAGGAGGAAGATCAGTAGTATGTTCACTAACAGAGTGCTACTCCCCAAACCCATGCTGACCTAGCAGAAGCTCCTTTTGGTAGGATATAGGAGTGTGAGAGATGTTGCATACTTCCCATGTAGTGCTGTCCTCAGCGAAGCCATAGAGTTTGCTTCTCTCCATGTGTAACTACCCACTGCACTGGGAATTGTCTCAGCCTGGGACCAGCATGGGATGGCTCAGCTGTGGTTTACTCAGAGGAGCAATCTGAAACTTCTGCACTGCTGACACATCCAGCACAGAAAAGCTCCAGCAAAACCATAAGCAGCACATAAACCTTAGCCCAGTATCCTGCAGAGGTCTGGTTTTATCTTATTTATCTGATCTTTGGCCTTTCCTGGTTTTACACTGAAGAGATGAAGAGGAAATGGTTTGTGTCTGGGTAACGTGTGAGAAAGTGACACTTCACTTTGATTTTTCCTTATCATGCAGGACATGCTGCCAATGCCGGGGGATCCGACGCAGGGTACTGGCAATTACAACATTGAAGATTTTGCTGACCTGGGCATGTTTCCACCATTTTCTGAATAGCTTGTGAAGCAGAAATGGAAGCTCTTCTCCAAGGCCCCTTCAGTGTATTTTTGGCTCTGCTTTTTCTGTGTTGCATTTCTGTAGAAGCTACTAAACCAGAAGACGCATTTCTCATATTTCAGATAGTGGTGTAGGGCTTGCTCTTACCTCCTTGGGGTGCGTCAGTGCCAACAGAGGAGCTCCAGCTCGTTAGTGTTCATTGACAGCTCCATTTTTTTTTTAATGTCATCTACCTCAGAGATCAAAAACTTTGCTTGATTGAAAAAAACAATCTCTGAGTCTTAAATATTTGAATGTGAATGATACCTAATATTTCCTTTTGAATGGTAATTTTTAAATAGATAATGAAGTAACAAAGACTAACAGAGAAAAGGTAAGGTAATGTCTTGTTACAGTGCCTACCGCTCAATTTCGATGCCTTGCTTTAAGCTTAAGTTTCTGGAAGCAGACACAATATTCTGTTTTCTTTGATTCTTGTAGTTCTTAGGTCACTTTAAATGTGAGATTAAGCAACATAATGTAGGCCTCTCTCACCAGAAGATTCAGCTCCGCCTTTTCTAACTTAAACTTGAATGTGTGTACATTTTGGTACTTTATGTATATCTTGTGCTGTATGAAGTGATTTCCTGTACTGGTTTCTTTTGCCTTTTAAATAGGGTCCATTCTGGAGCATACTGAGAAGGCTAACAATATGTGGAGGATTTAGGTATTGGAGGATTCTCCATCACTTCACATAGTGTTCTTACTTTTAATTCAGGTGGTTCTCTATTCAGAACAAGCATTTACTTACATAAGCTATTAGTCTGATTTTGCACTGAATTGAGGCCTATAACTCTATACGTTTCTCACTGGCTGCTTTAATTTCTATTGTTCTTGCTTTCCCAAAAATATTGCCTCATAAAAATGACTATGAACACACCAAGATCGTAATTTCTATATTAGCTGCATTTCTTTTCTGTGAAGTACTTTTTATACTGTGAAACCTCACATTTTAACAGTGCAAGGTGGTGGCCTAGTACAATGAAATCATTCAAGCTCATTTGCTGCAAGCAGTGAGATGGTTTTGTAGTGTATAATTTTTTTAGAGTGAGTTGGTAATAGATATCAGTTGGACTCCTGTCCACTGCATACACGGTGATAACTTGAATTTTTGCTTGGATCCCCAAGCAATCTCTTCTGTTCAACCCTGTTAACCCTGTTCTGTTAAATACGGGATTTTCACCTTACCAAGTGTTTTGAGGACTCTGACTATTCTGAATGCTATATGCTTTTCCACAGAGGTAAGTGAATCACCTTCCTCCTGAACTAGTCATTTACCACATACGCTCATCAGAAATGTGGTAGAAAGTTCTTTATTTGGTATCTCATATGTATGATGAGTTACAAGAGGTTGGGTTGAAAGGTCAACATTTTTATCTGTTTCTTTGGGATAGGAGGAGAAGAAATGGCTCACAAAGGACAAGGAGCCCAGAGTTCCTGTGTGCAGGGTTTCTGTGACCTTTGAGGTTGGAAGGTGGTAGTCAGGCTTCACAGAGGGACAGGGTCAGCTTCCTAAAGCCTTTGCATGTTCAGGAGCCATTACGGACAGGCCTCGTGGTGAAAGGCACTGCAGGCTGCTGGGCTGCAGCCAACGTGACACAGGGACACGGCTTTCACGCGTAGCCACAGGGTGCTTTTCCACATGAATTTGCTTCCCCAGCCCTCGGGTAGAACAGCATGTAGTTTTCAGTGTCCAGGAAGAGCCTTTCCTACTGTTTCTCTTGGTAAACTTGGGACCAATCTCTCACCCTACGTGCAAGTGGGGCTAGGGACTCTTTTTTTTTTTTAGGAATTTTTTAAATATATCTAGATGCAGTACTGCAGAGGCCTCAGGTCTCCTGGTCTGTACTTGCCTGACCAAAATCATGCTGAAAACAAATTAATAATAACAAAAAAAAAGTCATATCTCTTCTCTCCCAGAGATAGGGAAAATACCTTCCTAGGTAAGCAAGCCATGTGCTTATGCACTATTAATTTAAATACATGGATGTTTATTCTCTTGGAGCCTTCTCCCTTTCCACCCATGCTGCTCAGACAAATGACTGCTCACTGAATTAGATAAACAAAGCTCTGCTGTCCTCAGAGTGAAATTCAACAATTTCTGTAAAAGGTGCAGAGATGCTGTGCAGGCTGGAGGGGGATACAGTCAGCATCTGCATGATTTTGTAATCAGGAGCATTCTGTAGGATCTAATCACAGGGGAGAGAGCAGTAGATGAGCAGCTTATATCTCTGTGCAGAAGACACTCGACGTGATAAATTTCAGTTCTAAAATTTTTTAAAAAACATTTGTCTGTAAAGTGAAAAATGAATGAAAAAAATGCTGTTCCTCTGTTTCATTTAACCTGACAGACTGCTCTACTTATAATTTATTTTTGTTCCCTGAATTCAATTTAAAAATAAGATCTATGTAACTTTCTTTTTCCTAATATCAGCAATGATAACTTCCTCAGTGTATCATGTTTTTTATACTACTGTTGAAGGCTTCTTGTGTACCGAATTTGACTGTGCAGTTAAAAGTGCACTGTTAGCAGAATTTCAAGCATGTCTCCCCTTTTTTGTTTTGTTTTGTTCTACATACAGTATTATTATTTTTTTAAGCCAGTATGCCAGAGGCATCAGAGCATGGGCTGCTGCTTATCTTGTAGAGCACCCCTGCCTTCCTGGTTGGGAAAGGGGGTGGCTATTCTGTTATAGGGCAGCCCGGAGAGCACCAAGTTTGGGTTTTCCTTGCGAGCCTTTTTCACCCTCATTTGCCATCCAGATGCAGAGCTTTCTTCTCATTTCCCCCCTTCCTTATCTCCCAGCCCGGTCCTGGCCATCACATCCTTGTAGCACCTTGCCATGCACAGGTGGGGAGGTGTGGGGCAGCCCTTCCCGAACCAGCGAGGAGGGAGCGCTTAAACAAGCTTTAAGAGTTTGGCAGCTTCGTGCTTCTGGCCAAGTGAACAAGCAAGCTCAGCGCCTGCTGCTGCTGGGCATCCCGCGCTGCCGTGGCTGCGTGCCGCCGTCGTGTCAGTGGCTTGCTCCTCTGCAACAGCCTGGTCCCGGTTCTTGTGGCACAACGCGCCGTGTCGCCTAAGCTGTGCTGTATCTTTCTGTCACGTGTTTGGTTACTAAAGCAACTTACTTATACTATAGCTGAAGTTATGAGGTGCATTTGGAATGCTGACGTCTTTATTACGTGCCGTTGGTGTAACTTTTGCTGGCGCTTTGGCTGCCGGTTTCCGGAATTTCACAGGTGGTGGTTTTCTTGTTTCTTTCCTGTTTTTTTAAGCTGGAAATAAAGCTGTGATTTCTGATCGAACTGTGTTGCAAACACAGTGTTTCTTGAAACCGAATCTTTTGATTTTTAAACTGCAAATAATAATGGTCTGGGTGAGTTATTTCCTTGAGTGGGCATGTAGATTGAGATTTTAGATACTAAAATATTTACACTCGTTTATTCAAAAAAGCAATCCTGTTTAACAAGAGGGACTTCATCACATTACTTATTACAAGTGCTACTGGCAGTACCGACGTTTATGCTTTAACCAGATAGTTCCATTTGTAGCTTTGTTGCTTTTTTTTTTGAAGTACAGTATGAAACTGTAAATACTTCTTGCAGTACTGCCTTTTTAACTCTTAATTACTTTTGGCACAGTGTTAAATAGTGTTGGATTTACCCAATTGCTATGACATATATTTTTATACATAGGTGTACTCTTTTTTCGAGAATAATACAGCCATTTTGTCATTAATGCCTTATCAGTGTCATACTGCTGTTGCTCTTTGTTTGCAAGGTATCGAGTGGACTAATTTCTAGTTCGGATATTTTCACTTTTCCTGGCAGTGCTCAATTTGGATTCAGGTGATTTTTTGCCAGAGTCACATTTTTCACAGCTGTTGGCTGTGAGAAGAGGAGAATGCGGGCTTTGTTTTGTTTCTATTAATGGAGCAAAGAAAAAGTGAGGGCATCTAATTGTCTGTAGAAGGTCAGTCTTTTCGTACTTTAAACCAGAGTGTATTTCTTGGAACTGAGGACTGGGCACTGATTACTTTGTGTAGATTAATGGTCTTTAAAAAAAAAAAAAAATCTCAAAAATGGGCTTCTGTCATGGTTAGGCACTTGGTTACTTATCTGTTTAAACTCTTCATATTGATGTGAAATTGTGCTGTGGATAAAGTGTATTTTGTACTTCTGAATGTTCTATATTTATGACTAACAAGTACAGAATCAGTTGTGTGTATGTATAACTAATGACTGCCTTTTTAAATTTCATTAAAATAAAAATGTCATGAGCTGTTGTTACTTCCTGTCTTTTTGTAACTAAGTAAGGTCTGTTGGGAATTGTCAGGTGGGAATTAACCCTGAATGATAAGATTCCTGGCAAAAATCAGAAGATCAGGCACGGATCTTTTCTTTGAAATCTTCTGTGCTGTGTGGTTGTGCATGGGAAGGTTCCCTCTCCTTGTACAAAGGCTGTCCAGAGGGAGAGGAATGTTAGTTTGAGATCTCAAGTTTGAAAGAAGTTCCAGAAAAGCATTAATCAACAGCCCTGTTCTGCTGGTCGTGCTGAGGTGTGTGATTTGGTATCTGCATTGTAGAGCGCTTCATTAGAGCACAATTGATTTAGAATTGATTCATAGTCTGTTGCAATTTTTATTCAGTCTCTGGGGTGGCAGCACAGTGGTTTCTTTGTCCACCTTTCGGTCTCATTATTCAAAGTTGAAAAATACTTGTACCCTTCCCACAAACATTCCGGTGACCTTTCCAGACTTTCTTATGTAAAGTGCATTTGCTTTTCACAGTGCTTCTTCATTGTATTTATACTGTATTTCTTTGCCTTCTTGGTATTTTGTGAGCGGGTTTTACCTTGTTAATAAATCTAAAAAACTGATGCCTTGACCGCTGCAGGGAGCTGAAGATGCTGTGCTTCAGGGCATGCATTCCTCTTTCAGGGTAGGCGGCGTTTTCACAGCCCACGCTCCTTTTTAAGGGCTCTGCCTGTGGAGAAGAGGCATGAGCCCTGCTGGGGACCCAGTGGGGACACCCACAGTCAAAGCAGGGCATTGGGGTGTCCTTAATCAGATGGTGGTGATGAGGACTGGTTGAAAATGTTCCATTCACACTGTTTTGCTGTGAAAATTGGGTCTTCAGCAAAGTGGCCTTCTTTTTTTCAGTAGGTCTTTGATAAAGGTATGCCCAAAACCATAAACCCCCAGAAATGCTTCATGCCTTCATCATGGCAGCTGTTTGTTGCTTTTTTTGTTGCATTTAGGGCTTTATTTGCTTTCGGAAGGACATTATCCAAGTAGAAAGGAGCACACAGGACGAGTGGTACAGCACTACCAGGCAGGGTATGGTGTGGCTGGGCTCTTACAGGATCCCTCCTGGCACTCCTTTCGGATTGATGGCCATTAACCTGTACTCTCATATGCTAAATCAAGGGTACTGCTGGGCACCATGATGACAACTGGCTGTGGAATTGCTGGGGACTATTACTGTTCGTGTGGAATTCGGGTTTGCAGGTACAGAAATGGAAGGGAGCCAAATGTTCAGTGACAGTTGCTGTGGCACGGCATGGTGGTGGGACACCATGGGAGAAATCAGGAAAGAAACACGTGAAAGCTGATGCACAGGGAAGAAATGAAGTTGAGTATATCCCAACACTTACCACCTTTGGCTCTATAAACTGGCGTTAATGACTCATAAAAATAGCTTAAGTCTTCATTATGATGATAGAAATATATTTTTCTTAATTTTTCCATGGGAGCTAATTCTTAGCCACATTTCCATCAGTATACCATCATAGTTCAGGAAGTATTACTCATTTAATTTTCCCAGTTTCTCTCCAAGTTGGATATAGTGGGGACAGATACAGATGAATTCTTTCATCCTTCTTCACCAAGTTTTTGCATATTCCTGGTTGGAAATACTTGGCAGCATCTTTCTTCAATTTTCTTGTTCTGTCCCACATAAAATGAAACAGAATCACTTGAAATGTATTAATGGATTTGGGATCAGGTCCAGAGGTTGCGAGGGCATCTTTTCATTAGCTCTGGAAAAAAATTATCTTCTAATTATAGACTGGCACTAAATAGTAATATACAAAATGTGTCATTTGGGACCCAGCTGAAAAAAATGTCAAGTGAAGGGTCACACATAGAAGATGCACATGCAGCAGTGCAATTACCATGGCTCTTGCAGGCAAAATTTAACAGCTGTACACACATTGCTGTAATTACAAATATGCAGGCACAGCTCAGAGGGACAGAAGAAAGCCCCAGCTGCAGCTTGGAGGTCTGCCTCAGCTCGTGTGTCCTCTTCGAGGTGATTAAATTTTCCAGCACTTTGGTGCACCTCTGCCTCTTATAAATAGCAGGTTCTTAGCGAAGAAGGTGAGGTTTTAAATACTTGAAATGGTTTTAAAAGCAGACTTGAAGCACTGTAAGGCTGCTTGGTGCAGCCTATCATCCAAAGTATGTTTGGGGTGGCTCCCGGGGCCTTCACGCCCAGCTGCCCGTCCCTCCTCGCGGTGACCGATGGCAGCCCCAGCGCTTCTGTGTGTGTGGCCTGGGCAGGAGGCGGCTTCGCTCTGCAAAACAAAACCACGGTAGAGTTATTTTCCTCTCAGCGCTGGTGGTACTGGCTAGGCGGTCACACTTTGTCATTGAGGAGCAAGTGTTTTGGAGGCCTACGTTGCTGCTGTTTTGGAGTTTGGAGACCTCCACTTTGCTAAATAAACACAGAGGAGAAAACTCCCTTACACACGTACACACAACCCACGCCGTCTTCAGTGCACAGAGCCGGGGGCGAGCACCAGATCATAAAACTTTCCGCTTAGTGGAGGAATCCATACTGTGGGATTTCTCTCAGCTGCAGTGTCCTCTCACCCCTGGTTTCCCTCGCTGCATGGAGTTGCAATTTGTCCAGGCCCAAGTGTGTGTGAAGGCACGGGATGAGGGACACCAGAACATGACTCACAAAGGAGATGTGAATGCTGTGGGATTCCTCCCTGTAAAGCACACTCTTTTACCAAATGTTGTGACTTTGTTTCTGGTTCACATCTGAGCAGAAGACATCAGGAGGCATCAGGAGTGACTGAAGACTAAATTATTTTTTTAAAGGGACTCTGGGTATGTCGCATCCTCCCTCTTTTACCTGCCGCCTTCTCCAGCCACCGAGAGCTCAGTGTGAACACAGAGGGCTGCTTGAGGCAACCTGGGCCAGGCTGTGGGTACCAGAGAATGATGCAAGCAGTCTGTTTATCCCACCATGCTCCATGTGCGAAGTGTGAGTGCCCATGGAGCATCCCTTCTTCATGAAGATAGCTAGAAAAAAGTTCCTGACCCCCTTCCAATGTCCCTTTGCTGGATTTACAGTCCTCCCTGTGCCCCCACTGCTCTGTGGTGTGTGACCTCCCAAGCCCCTGCTTCATGGTGGAACAAATTCTGCTATGTTTAAACAAATAATTTTTTTAGACATTAGTTTTGCATAGCATCAACTAACCCGAGACTCCCCCTTTAATACCAAGCACATGTGTCATCGTGGTTGTCTCCTGTAGTCAGGAAAAGCTCTTCTCCGATGATTTGTTCAGTGATGTAGGAAAGGGTCTTTGTCATTTTACCCATGAAGCTTAGACACTGAACATCTGCGTCTGTTGTGGTGTGGCATGGAAAAGTATCAAACCCTTTAACTGAAAAATGTGTTGAGTTTATTCTATGCAGCCCTAAAACTAGAAGGTGCTACAGCTTTCTGAAGGATTTGCAGAACTGATGCTTTGTGAACTTTTCATGCTTATGTTTTCTATCATCTTTTTTTTTTTTTTTATACATTTGGTCTGGTTGGAAAGAAAAAAGGCACGCATTGAAATTCATGAAATTCCTAGGAAACAGTTATTGAGAAACTATAAAGTGTTCAAAACAATGCAGTTCCTTTAAGTCACACTGATGCCCACTGCAGAGGGGTGCTTAATCTAAAGGGGTTCTGAGTTGGAGTTTATTTGGATTCTTAACATATTTTTTGTGACCTCCGTGATTTAAGGTCAGAGACCTCAGCAGGGAGTCAATAGAAGTTGTCACTTTAATCATTTCAGTTCTAAAGATTCATCAAAGTTATGCGAATTGACCTAAATTTCCAGATCCTGCTGAGGGAGTGGGGTTCCGCACTAACCTACCAAGGCTGACCTGGATACATCACCTGGTAAGGAAAGGCCGAAGCAACCCCACTGAAGCAAGTGCCGATTGCATAAATAAGGAAGACGCAAGCCCTGATGCAGTAAATGATATTATTGGGTATTTATGGATCACTACAGATATGTGTGACACTGCATCGCAGGCCGCATGCCCACTCAGCTCACCAACAGATCTCCTCTGACAGGTTTGTAACCCCCCCGTGTCCCCCTCTGGTTCCTCCCATCTACAACTGTGTCAGTAAAGGGTTGGTGAGAGCATTTTTGTACCCATGTTAGTAAGGTGTCAAGACAATTTTACAAGACTCTTATTAAATCAGCCAGGACTTCAGTATTGAAAAGAGAACTTTATTAGCAGAGGTGGGGATATCGGGTAACAGATTCCTGTTTTTCTCTTGTTTTCATGCTTTTTTTCTGTCAGGAACATATTTCACAGCCATTTAAAACAATGGAGCTGAGCTTCCAGCAACAAGTCCATTAATAGCTCCTATTTCCAGGAGGTTCTAAAATTGGGTTAAAGATGCCCTGAAGGCTCAAATTTCTTTGCTGTTAAAGTTTGCTATCCAGAAGAGAACAATCTCTCTCTTTTTTTTTTTTTTTATTAAAAAAAAAAAAAGTTTCAGTTTCTTCTCGTGCAGAGAGCATGCACTCAATGCCTTTTGTTGGATTTTTAAAATCTCTCCCCACTGCCTATGAGAATGAGCGATGCACCAGCACCTCTCTCAGCTGCATCCAGAAACGCTGCTGGGATGGTGGCCGTGTTCCTCTCCTCGTCACCACACTCAGAGCCTGGTGGTAGCGGAGGAGAAGGTCTGACCCCTGCTCTGCGGGTCACAGCCACAGCCTGCAGCTTGGGAGGCTCCATTTGGACATTTGGGGAAATGTCTTCACTTGTGGTGTGGGAACAGGCTGCTGAGGGGTCCTGCTGGGCCAGGTCGTGAGGTGGGGACAGAAGGTGACAAGGTGGCCTCCATGGGCCTGGTGTCTCCGTCATGCTTGGGATTTGGGGGACAGCTCCCACCCTTAACACAGCCATGGAGAGAAAGCCACGAGATCTTCACATGGTTGCCAGCCCTGAGCCAGATGAGAAGTCCATCTGGCCCCGGCAAGGTGGAGC